TCTTGCTTTTTTTTTTTTTTTTTGAATTTGTTTGAAATAAAATAGATCCAATATTTTTTTAAAAATTATGCACTGGAAAGTTTTAAATCACGCATTTGAGTTATCTTTTATCTAAATAAATGTTTTTTTTCATGAACACATAGTTCTGTTACTTTAAATTAGTAACATGTAAATTTGTTATTATTAAAAGTATTTTGCAGAAGATATTAGTGCTAGAGGGATTTGCTGCAGAAAGTCCAAAAAATTTCTGCCACAGGGGCCTAGGTATTATAACTTCTGACTAACTCCCTGAAGAAATTATAACATATATTTTTCTCTAATTATTTGCAAGTACAATATACCCTTTGGCGCCTCAATGATGGCAGTTGGCGCATAAGGTGTGGTTGGGAAATATTCCACTTCAGACATATGCATGTAATATTCAATTTCCACTTGGATATATATATTATTTTTTCGATATGCAAAATATAATTATTAGAAATGCATCATTGTAAATTGAGTTTTGTATTACATAATAATTTGAATCTTTAAATTGCCGTATGTGCTGTTCAAAACCGTATTTCTGTATAGGTTTCTGCAGTAAAAAAGTCTAACAATTTTGGTGAAACCAGATTGTGGTATCGAAAAACTATTTAAAAAAAAACATTGCATAAGGAAATTATTTCTAAGAGTATATCTCATTATCTTCTTTAAGCAAACCACTGCAAATTTTTTTTTAAAAAAAAGTTTGAAAGTAAAAAATAAAAAAAAACTCTATGGCCCCTTGATGATGATAGTTTGGACAAACATGTACTGATCCAGAAATACCCTTAGAACTGAACCTTTTTCAAATTGATTAAAACTTATTACAGGAAAGAATTTTAAGTTTCTTTACCTCGAATATAGCTAAGAGATAGTTATGATCACCTTACTTATTTTTTAATTTATTATTATTTTTACGCTTTATGAATGTTAATTAAATTAATGACAACCACAATTTTAAGCTCTTTTTGCCTTGCTTTTTGTGCACTAACTAAGCAATTCTTTTATTACGTCATGAAAAAAAAAAGAAATTTATTATCTGTATATATTGTTGCAGTCTTCTCAAAATTATACAGAAATATGCCCTCATGTTGAAAATAATCATTAATTGTGCTCCTTACTTAAATATACATTTATTGTGTGTATCAAAAATGTTTTTTTTTTTTCAATGATAAATAGAAAAAAATGTGTTTTTTTTATTTTTTTTAATTCTAAATATAAAAGTACCTATAAGCAATTGATAAATTAACAGAGAAATTTTAAATTATAATTTAATGGGAGTAATGTTGCTGTAATACAAAATGCCGAGTTAAAGGGGAAGAAATCTAAATTATGTTTTCCAATTGTAATTTTAATCATGTGAAGGGACTAAATATTATGAAAAAAATTGTGGCATGATGCTAGAATTTTCTGTATACCCCCCTATAGAAAACACTGCATTTCCTGTTTGTTACATTTCTATTATGTCTTATCTTGCTTATATTCTTGATTCTAGGTTTGCAGCTTTTTTCTATCATGTAACTTCTTTTAAACTTATTAAACCATTCTCATAAATATGGTACAAAACTATATACATATACGATAGAAAAATATGACCTATAAAGTTAAAGCTGTTACACAGATTATTAAATTTAAGTGCAAAAGTTGTTTCTGGAGCTGTTAAAGTTTCTTTTCCGCCTTTATTCGAACCTGTTAAACTAGACACAGCGGTCATCAAATTTCTGAGAAATCATTTTTAGAGTTTTGAGTCTTGTGTCAGTAAATTGTGAGAATGATGAATTGAATATTAAGGAATTGTGATTCTTCGTGAAGTTTTTAATTTGTGTTGTTATGACTAATTTTCTAACAAAACTTTTTTGAAATTTCAAGATTTTTACAAAAATTAAGAATTTTGAGGTTAAACTTAGATAGTATCAAAAATCAACAGTTATACAAAAATTTTGGAACTGAATTGGAGCTTCGTCTGCCGATTCCTATTTCAAAGAAAACCCACTGATATTTGTTTTTACTGTTAATTGAATTATGTCTTTTTTTCTCTCTATTCAATTATTGATATCTGTTTTTATTTATGTTACAGATGAAACATTTGTTTGATTTTTTATAATAACTGTATAAACATGCAATAACCTGGCCTTATGATGAAAAGAGGTAACTATTATTTTGATATTTAAAGTAGCTTTTAAATTATTTTTTTCCTTACTGAGACATTAATAACTTTTTAATAAATAAATTCTCAGAATTTCATATTCTGTTAAAGTTATTCCCACTAAAAAAGTTGTTGCTGCAATGTGCGTTAAGTCTTGATTAGTATAGTAATATTTTGTGAATGAAAGAATATTAGTGGTGTAATTAAGTTCATAAAATTAATGATAAACTGTTTTTTTATATATAAAATGTAATTTTTTTATATAAAATTTAATTTTTTTATGTAGCATAAACTGTTTACATAGCATTAAATTTGCATTTACGTTGTAATTTATAAAGTTTCATTTTCATTTAAAAGTTTTAATTAAGTCTCAGAAATAGAGGTGTAATGAATATTCAACCCTCTATTCATTTGCCTAAATAATTAGCCAGATATTTATCCAAATATTCAGCAAAGTATGTTTGGACGAGGTTTTTTTTGGGGGGGGGGGATTTGAGTAGACTTAGTCTAAAAGAATAATCTAAATTTTTTTTTTTTTTTTTACTATATATAATTATAGACAGTTTTTACTCATATTTGTTAAGTTCTAAGACTAATTTATGTTCAGAAAGACGAATGGAAAAGCAAAACTAGAAGAATTTTAACTAGATTACTTTATACTGAACCATAAGTTTTGTACTTCTGATTTTTTTTTTCTTAAATTTTTTATTTATTTTTTTTTAACTGAGAATTTTTGTTTCGTTTTTACTGTTTTTCCGTTTTAGTTATAGCGCAACATTTTAACGAAGTATTTCTTACAGGCTTAATTCTTTTACTGTTTTTTTTCTAGTACAGTAAGGAGAAGCCCGGATTCTCAATGTTATAATTGCATTTTAGAACTGTGAAGAAGAAAAAATTTCTGTTTATCTTTTTTTGAAATTCTCTTTTCACTTTATGGGCGTTTTTATTATGGGATCTCTTTTGACTGAGAAGTGTAAAAAACTTTTCTTGGCTTGGTTTTCCAGGTTCTTCGTTCATTCAAAGCTATTAAACAAAAAATCTCACTTTTTGTGATGAGTGATCAAGCTGTGTTGATTCAGACCATGAAATTCTTCCTTTCATTTGTTATTTTCAGCTTCTTTTTCCCCCCATCATTTTTCCTCTTTTTTTTTTTTTTTTTNTTTTTTTTTTAAATCTTGATCCAATGTTTTGATGTATTTCTGAGCATGTTAAGAAGCAGCCAAGACAACAAGTTCCCATTGTAAATCCCTGAATTGATAAAAAGATCAAGTGCTGATAACTTGGATTTTTTTAACAGGGCTTTTCAAGTGATTAATTACTAATTCATTTCTGCAAAGTTATAAGTTTTGTTTAATTAAAACTGAAGTTTTGCTATCTAAGTCTTTCTATTTATATAAATATTTTATTGGATCATATTACACAATAATCTATATATAAATATTTTTGTGAAATATGATTAAATGATGCCAATTTTCCAAACAAGCTATAAATGATCAGAAGTATAACAGCACAGTATATACAGTTAGCATAAATGAAATTCAAATAAGCGCAATTTTAAGGTGCATATACTGCTTAATTCTAGATAAGTATATAATATTAATAAAAGTATGCATGGATTTACTATTAAATAAAATAACACTTTGATATCGTTACTAAATAAAAATTATTACACTCGAATCTTATACTTTGTTATATATTGATACAATTAAATTGATTACTCAATGCTCTAACTTTTTCTTAAATTAAAACTAGCCCTTATTGCCTTCTTATCATCCTGCAATTGTACTACTAAAAAATTTTGCTTACAGCATTTCTGATTTGAATTATGTTCTTTTACTTTTGTTTGTACATTTTCTTTTACTGAGAGAAGATTTAGTTTCACAATAACTTGTTGAAAGAGAGGAAAGATGAGATTTCTTTCTACTTTTATTTCTCGTTTCTATCAAAAAACATTTTAAAATTGTTTTTAGAAATGCTTAAAGAGTAAAAAAAAAAGAAAAGATTTAGGTATTTAGTAGTGGTCATTTTAAATGTCAAAGAAATTTCAATGTTGTCATATATATATGATTCTGTACATGAAAAATTAATGGCTGAAAACCACCGATTCCACTGGTCAGTGACTTTTTGATGGGCACATGTAGGAAGAACCTAAATCAGCTGCAAAAAATTTTTTGTTAATGTATTCATTTCAGGAAATTAAGGAAAACGTATTATAAATTTGATGGCTAGAGCGTTTTTTCAGTGAATGATTTTTTTTTATTTTTTAGGTGCTAAAATGTCTTCCCGATATGCTGTATTACTTTCATTTGGAATTAATATTTTTGTAAGTAAAGTATTTGGCCTGATATCTAAATTAGTTATTTAACTTAAGATGGGAGTCAACTATGTATGGCTTACTTGCCAAATACGACCCCTTTAACCCATTGACTGCAGGAGGATTATGTTATTTTTTCTTAACGTAGAGTGAATAGAAAAACAAGTAACATGCTAGTAAGATGTTTGTCATTATAAGTAGCTCTCAAAATTTCACCTCCGTGAGAATGTGAGGTATTTGCAGTCAATGGGTTAATAGAATTTATTATTTGCAGCTTTGCACTAAGTTCTAAGAATTATTTTATACACTTTAGGAGTAAAATAAGTAAAATGTCGTATTTATTTGCTATACTTTAACTTATCTTTTTAAAAAATTTAATTTTGCTTAGACAGTTGCTGGTACACTTCACATGTATGTCACTTTCTTTTTTTATATCTACCCAAGAAAGCGCAATGCAATCATTGAGAAAAAATTGTATTAAAAGAGATAACAATGATTGGCCTATAAAGTGAAAGAATTTCCATAATGTCGCTTTGAATTTTTGTTCAAAATTTCTTTTGGTACAATACTGATTGAGAACATCTATTATTATTATTTATTTTTTTTAAATAGTGATTTTTACTTTCCGACAATTGCATGCATCTAAAGAAAACAACAATAAGAGTAAAAAGAATCTAAAAAAGTTCTTAATTTCTATTTTTTTTTGTGAGACTGCCTATAATTTTTTTGCTTTTATGAATGATTAATTGTTAGAACTAACTGGTAAATGAGGAACTACAAAAGTTTAAAATTGTTTGAAATCTGAGCATATTTTTTGCGAGACAGCCTATTATCTGTTTTGCTTTCATAAATCTTTAATTTATGGAACTATCTGGTAAACAAGGGTCTATAAAGTTCAAAATTTCTTGAAGTATAATTTTTTTATAAGCCATCCTATTATGAGTTTCTCTTTTCTGAATACCCAATTGTTGTAATTAACCTTAATATGTAGTGCAACTTTGCTTTTTTTTATTTAAAACTTTTTCTCTGTAGAGTTTTTACTATCAAATCTTTTTTAAATTTTTTTTTACTAAGCCAGCTATTCTGCTTAACCGCTATAGAGTGTCAAATATACTGAGAATCCTAAGGGGGTGTGAAAAAAATAGTTCTTGCTTTCCCAGGATGTGTAATTTCCCCATCACCAAAAATAGGGTGGGGGTGGAGAAAGGGGAAAAATAATACCGCATATCTATAAAGGCAAAATTGAGTGAAACTTCTTTTCATTGCAAGCAGAAGGAGAAAATATTTATGATTTGAAATTATATGGAAATTTTGATTTTAAGTCTTGGATGAATTATTATAACTGAATTAATTAATCATAATCAATCGCCTAATTATAAATTAATAAGTTTTTACACATAAAGTGGGGATCTGTATTACAGTACAGAACCCGTTATCCGGAAATCGGAAAACCAAAAAACCGGAACGAACTTCGATAAATTTTCCCAAAATTTTTTTATAAAATTTTTTTTTCCCTATACGATTTTAGGATTTTTCTTTCTTTTTTGATAGATGTTTACCTTACCATCATTTTGGAAATAATCATTACTGTATTACTTCATCGTTTTTTCTATTTTTTTCAAATTATTTCCAAATATTTTTTTTCTTTTAGTTGGGTTTAATAATAAAAATACGGCTTTTTGTAGCGATTCAGAAAACCGGAAAAATCAGTTATCCGGAATAGCGATGGTCCCGATCGTTCCGGATAATTGGTTCCCTACTGTATTTTAAACAGGGCACATTTTTGTTAAATAAGACCCTGAAATTCCGAAGCACAGGGTACTGAGGACCTGTAATTTCGAAAATCTAGCAGAATCACTTTTAAAGATTTATAATTATTGCAGAGGTTTATTTGTTCATTTTCCTTTTAGATAAAAGTTTGCTGAAGTCAAAAGGGAAGATGTCAAGCTCAATGTCTGAGGCAAATCTGGAGAAAAAATTCCAGACAGCAACTAACACTCAGGATAGCATACAGACACTCTCACTGTGGGTTTTGCATCACAAAGCACATCATCAGAAGATTGTTGGCTCTTGGATGAAAGTCCTGCAGAAAGGTTAAAATTTTTACAATTTTTCCAAATATTGGTTTATTTTGTGCTGATAAATTTAAACTTAGAAGAAAATGCAAATTTTTCTGGTCCTCTTTTGGAGATATATAGTAGATTTACTTGTGTCTCAACTTTAAATGTCTTGTTGTTACAGTTATTGTTTAAAAAAAATTTAAACAGCAATATTGGATTAAATAATGGTTGTACATTCAATTTCGCTATAGTGTATGGAACATGCACAGTGTACAAGATTAAAAAAAAAAGAAAGAATCACCCTAAATAACTTTTACTATAATGATTAGATTTTCGTGTACTAGCGACTCACTCTTAATGGTTCATTTGGGTGACCTTAAGTATGCTAATTAATACAGACAAAGTTTATGAAATCAGACACAATGACAAAATTTCTCAAAATCAACATACTTTTTTCCCCGATCTAACCCTCAAAATATAAGAGGTGACGACAATCAGGGAAATATGGTCTCAATAGTTTGGTCAGGAGAGCAGTCCAAAGTTTGCACCCCTTAATGTTAATTTTACTTATTTTGTCATATCTTTATTATAAGGGGATATCTATATTATAAGGGGGATTCATATTTTATGGGGATCAATAAACGTTTACACTCAATTGTAAAATGCATTTATCTAAAGATCATTCCACGTAAAAATAGTTTTTAGCTATTATTTATTTATTAATAGTCGAAAAATTATCTGATAGTTATAGATTATAATTATAAAATAAAGTTTTATAAAATCTGAAATTTGCTGTCTTCAAAAATTAGATTTTTGTTTCCAAGGTACACTTATCGTCTGTTTATTTTTCTTTATTGTTTTTTTTTCTCTCTTTACATTGCAATGAAAATCCTACATCACACATTTAAAATAATATTTTATGCCCTTTTTTTCCAGCAAAAATCAGCCATAGATTGACCTTATTTTACCTAGCAAATGATGTTGTGCAGAACAGTAAAAGAAAAGGTTTCTTGCAATTTGTGAATTCCTTTGCTGAAGTTCTGAGAGAAGCCACCTTGTTAGTTAGGTATAAATTAATTCTTAATTTATAAAATTTTTGAAAAAAAATTATAAAATTTTAAAATATAAAAATTTTTTAATTTTTTTTTCTTATAAAATTTTTAAAATTCCTTGTTCTGTTTTTTATGATGACTTAACATTTATTTTGTTAAATAAATTAATTTTGTTACTGTAAGTAAGGGCCAGTCGGCATTTTCTGTGTTTTTGGGGAACTGGCTTTTAACAGATGGTTTTAATGTCTAGAACTGTTCAAAATTATATATCAGTGTCATGAGAAACTGAAATTCATGTATTAATTGTGCTTTAAAAGGGTTTTCAATGTCAACACTCATAAATAAGTGGAATTATAATTAAATTTTATTTGACTTTAATTTAATAAATTTATAAAATTACATTGTTAAAATTTAAAGTTCAGCATAAAATTAAAAGCTCGACATCTTTTAAGGTTCCACAATTGAGAGCATATTTAAAACAAATTAAGATTATTTTAATTTAAATTTAATTTTAAAATTTTTTTAACTGTTTTGTGTTATGAATATAAAACTTACTGTTTATAATTTAATTTTGAATATTTTATTTCTAAAGTTAAAATCCTTTTAGTAATTATAGTTTAGTTTAAAAGTTGTTAATTTAGTATGATCTGTTAATATTTTTCTTAATTTCTTAAACTTTAGCATTTTTAAAATACATCTATTGCATGATCTAACTGAGGACAGACAGTTTTAGACAGATTAGGTTTATGGATTATATCTTTATTTCTAAAACCTTCCCAACTTGTAATTAAACTCTTTTGTGCCCTTTTGTAGAGATGACAGCATTAGACCTTCCATCCAACGAGTTTTCAATATTTGGGAACAAAGAAATGTCTACACTCCTGAATTTATTGCAGATCTCAGGGCTATTTTGGGTAATTTCTCTATTTATATGCTATTGTTTTGTCTGAATTATTTTTTGATAATACCTACTGTTACCAGGGTTGGTTTTTTGCCGGCAGAAACTGGTTATAACCGGCAGAAACTAAAAAAATGTCTATTAGTTCTAGTAATTGTCTAATGACATTTTGTTTAAGTAAACTGAAAAATGTAACTGTAACAAACTTTTTAATTCATTGTTTGTAAATATATATTATTTTGTTTACATTCAATATAAAGAGTGCAGTATATCAAATATTTATGTTAAATAAAGAATAAAGCAGGGTTGGCAAGATTTTGCCGCAGGTGGAAANGATTTCTTTCACGTGGATGGGTGGCTTAGTGTCTGCTACTAATAGATAGAGATGAAGATGGCAGGAAACCTTAAGAAAACACTGAAACTTCAACTTTTTCTAAATTAGGTAAGGTTTGACAAATATTTTTGAACTAATGATAATGTATTCAAGACAATTCATTTTGTAAAAATTATTTTTCTCGACAACTTGCGTTTTATTAGAGTCAGGGTTGGCTTTTTGTCGGCAGAAACTGGTTTTTTACATGCCAGTGGCAGAAACTGGTTATAACAGCTAAAAACTGGCAGAAACTAAAAAAATTTCTATATTAGTTCTAGTAATTGCTTATTAACATTTTGTTTAAGTAAACTGAAGTAACTGTAACAAACTTTTTAATTCATTGTTTGTAAATATGTATTATTTTGCTTATATTAAATATAAATAGTGCAGTATANTGTAACTGTAACAAACTTTTTGATTCATTGTTTGTAAATTTATATTATTTTGTTTACATTCAATATAAAGAGTGCAGTATATCAAATATTTATGTTAAATAAAGAATAAAGTAATGTAATAATAAATATAAATGCTAGATTTTAGTTTTATATTAAACTCTGAAAGTCAGTAATTATTATCTTTTAACTGAATAGAGCTATTCTCAAATAGTTTTTTTCTTACAGACATAATTTGCATGACAACAATCCAATTATTATAAAAGTAGCAGTTTTAATCTTTACTGTATGTTAGAGGCAATATAATTGGTTAGAATGTAAACAGCAATTTCAGTGGTTAAAATATTTGTAAATTGTACGTTGTTTAACAATTAATTGTTTTTTTCTATGAATTATCCATTGTATGTCAAACTCAGTACTTACTTTTATGTCATTTTCTGAATTTCTGCCACAAATGTGGCTGAAAAGGGTTTCTGCCATGCCAGTTTTAACCAGTTTCTACCAGTGGCTTTAACAATCTTGGCAGAAATTTGCCAACCTTGACTGTTACCTGATTGAAAACTTCACTCGCTTCAAAAGTATAAAAATAGAAAATAAATTTTTGAGTCGAATGAAGTTTTTATCAGGTAATATCTTATCGCTTCAGTTTTTTTTGGAATTATTTATTTAATACTAGCTACTGTATTAAATTTTCCAATAGGCTACTTTTTTAATTAGGTATTTTTCAAATTTCTGTAGATTTTTGAGAATTGTATAAAATTTCTGAAAAGCATTGAACAAGACATGTTTTTTTCCCCTTAATTATATATATTCTTTAATTATAATTTATTATAAACTTAATTATTCCTTTATGGGACGAAATATTTAATACGTTTCAGAAAAGTTTATTTGTCAGTTACAAATATTTTGCAAATTAACATGCTTATGTGTATAAAAGATGCTTTTTTTTACCATTTCATTTTGGCAGCTATGATCATTGTTTCATGTTGTTTGTTTTAACTATTGATGGTATCCTTTTTCAGCTAACAGTAAAGTTCCAGCATCTGCACCAGCAAAATTACTTGCACAGTTTAAGGTAAATGCTAATTTTTTAGTCTATTAATGCATTTTGAAAAACTCATACAAAAACTTAATTTGTGTTGTAATTTAAATGTAAGTCAGATTATTGTATCTGAACTATCAAATTTTTCTAATTATTTATAACATTTTCTGTACGAAAGCTTTCATTTATGAAAATTTTTGATGAGCCATTTGATTTACATGAATTTATGGAACTGTTTAGAATTTAAATGTATTAAATTCTGAACATGTTTCCTAATGTTTTTTTTTTTTTTTTTGCCGTTTAATGCTTTTATTTACCATAAAATTTGTGTACCAAATTTTGATTTTAGAATTTTTTGATGGAGTAATAACTTGGTCATAATATGTAATTTTTAGATTTTAGTTAAAGGTCTACAACATTTTCTTGAATTTAAAATGTATAAATTTAATTTCTTTTTTGAAATATTCTCCAGTGTTTTTCTTTCAAAAAGTTTTATTATGTTATCTGTGCAAAGTAGTTCAAATGTCAGAATGATTTAAGTTTTTTACTCAATGTCAGAAACATTATTTTTAGTCCTTTGATTGAGTATATAGTTGTTTGACGTTTTAGTTTAAAATTTATGCTTAAATAAGCAAAAAATATATCAGTGTAAAATTATACTTATAAGGAAAATATGAAGATACTTTCTATCTCTTCCTTTTTTTTGTTTTTTGTATAATTTATGTGAGAAAAGAATTCTTTTATGTCACACTAAAGCTGCACAGTGTGATTTTGGCGGCGATGTGGGAAACATCTCTGAAAATTATCTGCAGATATGCAATCATAATTTTGATCCCCTGTGAAAGAGCTGGCTTACCAGCTTTGATAGTCTGATGACCTGTGCACAAAATTGAGCACTTTTTTGTAGAACAGTTTAACAAGGACCTATACAGCGCCATCATTGGTCCTTACTGGTCCCCCATTGATCACTAAGACTGATCTAAGCATTTGCCCACCTGCACACTGACCGCAGCCAGTGATGCTAGATTTAGGTGATCTACTGGGAACTATACCTTACGATCATTCCATTATGGAACATATAGGAAAGTATAAAAATATTGCATACATTTAGGAACTTTTGGTATTGTCATTTGTTTCTAAAAAAAATTTTTAAAAATTCTACATTTTAAGCATAAGTTTTTTTATTTGTTTTAACTCTGAGTTGTATGTTAGTTAAACTTTTCAGAAAAATACAAGTTTTTGATTTTTTACATCATCATCAATTTTTGTTTAAACTTTAACCCAGTTTTAATTTATGATATATTTTTTTGTGTACTAATAATTGAAAGGTTAAAATCAATGACAAGTTTTTCTGTTGTAAGTCCTTATTCTGTTGCATAACTTATAAGAATGATAAATTAAATGTCATGTTTTTATTTATTTTAGCCTGACTCTGTTATCAATAAAATAAGAAATGTCTCTAAACTTGATGTGGAGATAGATAAAAAGATGAAAAGTATAAATCTGAGTAAACTTAAGGCAACAGATGCTGAAATAGTTCAACAATTCAAAGGTGGGTTATATTTATGGTACCCTTTTTAATATATCTTTAAATTTAAAAAAAAAAAAAATAAGCAATTTGAAAACTTTCTTTCAACTCATTTGACGATGTATACTTCCTTCATTTCCAATAAGTTTATGGATTTACTGTTTGTGCTCTTTTTCATTTATTTTAATTTTATGTTAGTTGCAGTCAGGGTTAGAGTTTTTGCTGGCAAAAAGGTTTTTTTGCCAGGACAGTGGTAAAAACCGGCAGAAACCAAATTATCTAAATTGCTGATTAAATACTATTACAAAATGCTTGAAACAAATTTAAATCAATCATAAGGAATAATAATTTTGATACATAAGAGAGACATAAGAAAGCTAAGATGAATGTTTTATTAGATAGATTTTGATAGTCACCTCATTTCTCAATATTATTTTAAAATGCAAACAAAACCACACAATTTAAATTCCCTTGATCCTTTTAACTCACAAACCAGTTCCCCTTGACTTCACACAAAAAAAGGCGGGTGGTATTAGTTATACTCATCTTACACTTACTTAAATGAAATATTAATACATTATGATTTAATTATGGAATAATAATTTTGTTAATTTTTTTTTATTATATATATTTATAGTATATATTTCAATTTCAGGAATAATTTTGTATCAAGAATGTGTTTTTATCCTCTCGGAAAATATAGGTTTTTGCCACTTTGCTTGGCAAAAACCTGTTTTTGCCAGGACGGTTTTTACCGGTTTTTAAACTGGTTTTTTCCACCTGCGGCAAAATCTTGCCAACCCTTGTTGCAGTAAAATATATTTTATAATAATTTGCGCAATTTATTTAACAATTTTATCATAATTTGGCAACTAAGTTGGCTGAGCAACATTTGATGACATCTCCAAATATTTTTTATTATGACAAAAGGTAAAAAAAACTCTGCATTGTACTATTATGAAAGAAGCTCAGCCTTTTTTAGACCCTTGGAGCATTTATTGATTGGAAAAAATTATTTATTAATTCTTTTCCTGTACTCATGATTAATTATTATATTGTACAATTTTGAGGAAGAAATCTTTGAAAGCCTCTAAAATTCACCTCTTGTTTTAAAATAGAAGCTTTTGGTGTGGGAAAGTATTCAATTGCCTATGTAATGCTTCCATATCTATGTAACTTTCTGACTAGATTAGAGGTAAAAGCACTATTAGGTGGTGCTAAGCACCAACAGCCACCCACCGACTTAGCTATAAGCAGGCCTTGAACATTTACGTTAAACATGGTTGAAGTCTTAAATCTGTCTTGTTATTTGTTTTACTTGTTGCTTGAACTGAAGCAATTATATTCTAATTCAAGATGAACAGAAGTTATACTATTGAGAATTTTATTTTGTTGGTTTTATCAATCTAATCTAAAATTTTAAAAATGGTTAAAAAGTTTTTAAGATGTTAAAATGTGTCTGAGTAGATATTTTTGCTCTCTAAATAAATAAATGGTTAACGTCTGTATGTATGTAAGAAATAAATATTTTTGGTTGGGCTAGATTTATTGCAGTCAACATGTATATTTTTTATTAATCTATGCATATATATTTTTTACTGATATTTTTTATGTTTAGTAATATTAAATACATTTTTAGTTTTATGAAATAAAGATTTATCAGTTATATTAAAAACACTTTTAGATCGAATCCATGGTCAAAAGTTTAAACGAGACTTTGATGACAGTGTCACTCGCCTGGAGGAGTTGATTAAGCTCTTAGAAAAAGAAATGACTGAGCGGGCTGAACTTATTCTGTTACTTGAACAAAGTGAAATCTATTATGACACACAAAAAGGAGAAGCAAAAATAGTTGCTAATGTGAGTATATTTTTGTCACATGCCTGAAAAATTGGAACCTTTTTAAAACATTTGTCATTAATTCCATAAAAAGTAATTTATTAAAAAGTATTAGTTTTTCTCACTTTTAATAAAATTCCGTTTTTGTTTTCAATTAAATAAAGAGAAAAATTCAGCCTTTTCAAAAAAGGTTTCTCTTTTTTTTTAATTCTCAAAGACCTTTTTTTTTGTTGCTTTTTCTTATTTAAACAAAAGTGATTTAAAATCCCACATTGTGATTCATAATTACTCAAATTAAAATTATCCATTGTCATTTGTATTCACATGTTGCAATTCATATTTACAAGATTTAACTTTACACATTTTGATCTGTTACACAATTTAAAATTACCCATCATGATTCATAATCATGGTTTAAAAATCTCACATCGAGACTCATGCGATTTCAAAATAACATATTGGTATTTGTACTCTCAACCTGTCAAAACAGAAAAGCTCACACCAAGATTTGTATTTGCATGATCAAAAAATCTCTCTTGTCGAAAATATTTATTACGTGATTTAAAAATCACATAACAAGATTCGTGTTTGCACAATTTAAAAAAAAAATTCAGCCTGATGTTTTTTATTAAAAACGTTTAAAGATATATGCTATGGTTTAAGCTTCCTGCAAACACTTTTTTCTTGCTCGTATTTCAGGTCTTTTTTAAAGTATTTAAAATATTTTTTACACCTAACATTTTAGGAGTGTTTTTTTTCTTCTGGTTTTTTCGTTTTTTTTACAAATTTTTTTCTATTGTTGATTAATATTTTTCATTGTATTTGTTTGTTTTTTAAATTTATTTTATGAATAAAATAAAAAAAAATGTGATTTTCTTTCACATAATATATGAAAATATCATAATGAAATGAAATAGTGATTCTGAGTAAACAATAAGAAATTAATTTGCTTATAGATTCCTTAAATATTTTCTATTTAGCTTATTAAATCGTCTTTTTTCTGTACCTAAACTAATGTGCTAATTTTAAATTTTGATTTTAAGTTTGTCACATTGCTATGGTTCAGTTTTCCAATGCTGTTATAATTTTCCACTTTTGAATTATTTTTATAAGAATTTAATGTGTTGGTGTTGCTTATTATTTATTCTTCAAAATCATATTTTTAACATAAATAGTTAAATCTTTGCCTGTTACTGTTGTGTTTTGATCAAATAAACTCTAAATGTTTTGTTTGACTATGCAGTATTATACTTATAAATCTAAAAAATCTGTTTTTATTTATTTTTTATACTTAATCTACAGATGTAAGATTAGTTGTATGGAATATAAAGTAAAAGCATCAGATTTTAACTATTTTTGCAGCTGCTACAAAAATATAATTTATACATTTTATTTATTTATTTTATTTTTTTCATCAAGAGACAAAAGCAAATGTTACCAAAGTACTATTGTTAAACATTTTTATTAGCATTTAAATAAAATTTTTAAAAAGTACGAATGAGCTGACAATTTGAAAAAGGTGCGTAAAAAATTTAAATGTATGGTTTCCTGCATTCTGTTTATGAAATTTTGCTATGGTTAAAGAGAATTAGATAATTTATTTTAAAAAAAGTTTTAAAATGAGTAACAAAGAATGTCAATATGAAGGTGTTTTCAAAATAATCATTTATAAATGAGCTTGTTAGATATTTATGAGTGAATGAGTCATTTATAAATAAGTTTTATTAATGTTGCAAATACCTCTGATAAATTTCCTAATTCAATAAAGTAATATATTCCTTTTTTCTTTTTTTTTTTAAATTTGCTGTGAATCGTATATTTCCGTTTCCTTCAGGCTTTCTATTGATTTTTCAAGTGATAAGTTATACTTAAGTCACCCAATTTCAACAGTTATGTTTTTGAGCATCATAAGTTTTGAGATTTGTATAGCTTGAATCTCTTTATGACCAATATTGTAGTTATTTATGGTAACCTTAAAGAGTATCATCCTTAATGAATTTAGTGCCTTTAAATGTTATTTTTACTTATCTTAATATTACACATGCAGGATATATTATACATACATATAATACCATGGGCTACTAAAATGCAATTTTTTGCCTGAAAAGGCTTAGAAAGAAAAGCAATTATTTTCAGGAAAAGGAGACTATTGAGAGACTTTTCTGTACTCCTAGCTTTTTTTTAATTTTTTTTTCCTTAAATTTTTTAGTTTTCTTTTTTCAGCAGGAGCTTCTAAACACATTGAATTTTTTTCTTAAAAAATATAAAATTAATTCCAAATTTGAGTAATCACTTTTTAATTTGTTCAATTTGCACAGATTCCATTAAATCTTTTTCGTTTCTCGATCGCCTTTTCAATGATTATTGCTACAAAATTCCGCACAATTTTTAAAAATCCATCTTTTAATACGATATTACAATACGTGAATTTCACATTTGAGTAATCACTTTTAACAATGTGTATATATATAGTTGCTAAACCAATTAGTGATAAAAGGGAAAACTTTTAGAAATAGTATATTTTTTTTTAATGAAAAAGTCTTTTTTTTTTTTTTTATGAATTCTAGTCATTTTCTGCTAATATACTAATTTTTTTGATATAAAAATTTATTGCTAGAACACAAACATTCATGTAAAAATTATCACATTTGGCACCAACTTGACTAAATGGACCATGTAATAGTCATTTTATAAAATTTTAATCATATTTTTGAAGAAATTTTGTTCTTATTTATTCAAGCATTTTCATCTTTTAGGCTACTAAAATCAGTTATTTCGTTCATTTTTTTTTTCTGTGGCAACCCTGCATATGGAATATGTTATTACTTTTATGACTTAGAGAGATATTTTTATACGAAAATATAAAAATTAATTATATTAATTGTTATGACAGTTGCTAAGCTTTAGTTTGATGTTTATAAATAACTTGTTTTATATTAAATATAAGAAACATGATGTTACGTGTGAGGAACAGAAACTTTTCTATAGAATCAATTATGCTTGTAAATCTATAGTAAACTTACTTTAAGATTATAATTTTAAAAAATTTTTTTGTAAGAAAAAGTTATAACTTAGCTTTTAAAATTTGTTATAGGCTTACAAAAATTTTGGTGCAAGAATAGATAAACTTCAGAAAAAATTAGAGGAAATCCATTCTAATTTGCCTAGTCCAATACCCTCTCCGTCTGTGGATGCTCCCTCCCCTACCACCTCTGACCAAGAATTGGAATTAAAATTACCCAGTGAGAATCGTAAGTTAACATTTGTTACTTTTATTCTCTTTGCTTTACTTATTTTATTTCTTAGAATATTGTCATCTAATTCTTTAGTAATTTATTATTTTTATGATGGATCAGCTACCATTGCATCTTTTTGAATTTATTACATATTATTGTTTTTTATAATATTTAAGTACTGCAATATTTATAAATAATTATTTAAATTGTGAGCTTCGGAAAGCTTTTAAATGCTCACTTCATTCACCACAAAGTTTTTGACCCATCCACAAAAAAAAGGGGGGATCAACTGGGTTTTTTTATAAACATAATCAAAATCTGCCTTTATATCAATTATATTTTATTTGACTTATAAATATCAATACATAATAAACAAATATACATAGCCCACTTTCAAAACTTAAGTGTATTTAGATAAATATGTATGTAATTTTGAATTATTATAATAATTTTTCAACAACATCAAGAAAACATCTTCAACATCAAGAAAAATCGCTTTTTTTAACCAATAATTTAAGCTTTTTTTTAATGTTATTTGTTTTTAACTGAGGAAGTGAAATTGCTGAAATAGCTTTTTGTAAATCTAATTAGTAAATAAGTTTTCAAAAACAAATAAAATAATCATATTTAAGGAGAAAATATTAAAAATAGAATTTTTTAATTCTTTTCAAAAAAATATTTTTGTTTTATAAAATAATCAAATGGATGGATTAAAATATTTTGTTAGTAATGTTTTAATGCTGCAAAACAATGAAATAAATAAAAAAAGTAATTAAATTTCAAGCAATGAGAAAATACTGAATAATATGAAATTAACGTTAACTTTGCTTTGCATTTTAAATTTTTATTTGATAATAGTTTTCATGAATGATTAATTATTTTATTTACTTTATTAATTGCTGAATTCCCAGCAAAAATTATTCTAAATACATTGTTTAAAGAACAATTCAAAAAACTATTAAGAAAATTGTTAAATAAACAGTAGTTATGTAGTTAGTTGACCTGTAAAAGACTTATTTATTTTTTTTTAAAATATTAAATTATAACTTAAGTATTTAAAAACAAATAAATAAAACAGGAAACAGCTTTTTCTCGGCCATCCGATATTATGCTTTTATTTCTAGTCGAGCAAGGAATTAATTTAAGATCCTAAGATTATTATGAAAGTTTTCTTTTTAACTAAAATTTTTCTCTTTTGAGTTAAAATTTTAAATTTGTCCCAAGAAGTGTTAAACTAGGTAATATCTTAAAAACTCCAATAAAGCACACCTAGATTGGATTAAAAAAACTCTCTTTTACAATCCTAATTTAAAGGCAGTTTAAAGTCAGCTTTCTTAAAGTTGGCCATGCCATCAAAACTTGCTGACATAAATACACACACAGATATATTTGTCAATAAAATATGAAAGAAATAAATCGTTATGGTTTTCTTTTTATTTCTTTTTTATTCTTATTTCTTGCAGTGTGATAATTGATAAGTTTTGTTGTAACGAACTCCATTGACACAATTTTCTCAAAAATTACATTTTTTGATGTGTTTTTTTTTTTTATTTCTTGAGTGATTTGGATTTTAAGCATTAGCAAATTTTTAACAGTCAATTCAAATATGTTTTTTGGATTCCTACTAAATCAAATCTTTTTGCAGGAGCCTTAAGGAAAAGAAAATATATTAGCTTTATGACTGTTAATAGTCTGCAATTTAGCAACACTTAAAAGTTGGACTGAATTGCACGTTTTCGGAATACATGCATGAATTACATTCCCTATGCTTTTTTCTGCTTGCTAGCTAGTTATGTCTCATTCCACTGTGAAAAGAGCCAATTTCTCAAAAAATGCATGCAAATTAAAAATAAAAAATTCTAGAAATGTAAATTTGTAGACCATTTCGATAAGAATTCTATTTTTATCAACGCGTTGCTGGTTTTTCTCTTTATATTCTCAGTGGTGTAAAGAAAACTATGATTTTAAGCAATTAAATTTAAGATCTATAGCTTCAGATCAGAAGCTTTAAATTTTAGAGTACATTTCATATCAGGCCATTTTTCTCTTGTATGTTTTAGACTTTTCCCATTCTATGTTGTAGCTTCCTTTTATTTCATTTTCTATTAATAACCGATGATCTCTTGAGCAGAAGAAGTCTCTTTTCATATACTTTACACTGCATATACTTTACATTGCATCAACTTTCACACTTTTCATTTATTTTTCATATGTACCACAAAAATTTTATGAAAAATATATTACATTTTAGTAATGTGTAATATTATTTTAAAATATGATTTTTTAACTTTAGTTTGAAAGAAATGATTGTTTTTGTTTGGTAAAGAGGGAAGTTCTGAATCTGTATGAATTTTCTACCATCTGGTTTTCTTTTTCTTAACTTTTAATGTAATTAATTGAGTAGTTTTGTAGAATATCTAGGTTTTATGTTACATTTTGTTTTCCTTAGTTGATCCTTTGTGCTGTTAAACATTTCTTAAGACAGGAGGAGAGGGCATGGTAGAATTCAGTATCTGCAGTTAAATGTGCTACAATTTGTTTTTTTCTGCTTGTTTGAGTTTTTTTTTTCTTTCTTATTAAGCCTTTGCTCATATTCTATTTTCAAAATTAAATTTTATAGATACTTATTTAGTACAACTGTATGGAAGACTAGTAACAAAATATTAACTGTAGGATTTTTTACTGTGAGTTCACATAGAAATATAAAAATACTTATGTCAAGAATAAACTTTAAAATACTTACTAATAATAAACTTTAACTAGTATTGTTTTGTTTTAAAATTATTCTGTTTTATTTTACTCTTCATTTTTGACAGCAAAGAAAATTACGCTTATAAGTTCACAGTTGTTTATGTTTCAAAACAATGAATAAGAAATTTGGCGTACATATTTCAGGATTTCGTTAGAAATATGGAAAGAGAAAAAAAAAAGTTTATTGTTATAAAACACATCAAAAATATGGTTAAATTTTCCACATGATCTCTCCTAATTATTACATGAATATTATTATTACAATTTGCATGAGAAATTTGACACCCTAAATTCTGCTAACGAGGGTACAACATTATTGACAAGTACTCTAAAGTGAACAGGTACACAGCCAGATTTTGGTGTGCAAATATTGTAATTTTTATTTGCCTTTTTTTTTAAGTAAAAAAAATGCGGGAGTTAAAAATTATTTATTAGATTTTTTAGAGTTATATTTTGCTTAGATTTTTTACTCTAATTTTTAATGTTTCCATAAGTGGCTGTTTATTAGTTACTTATGTCTTAATGTTAATTTTTTATAAATATTCTCTACGTTTAAATATTTAAAATAAATGGTGTAAAAGGACATCAATACGGCCTTTGTAGCAAAAGTGTATAAAAAAAATTTTTACTTAGATTTAATTAAAATAATTAATAGTAAATCTTGTTAAGATTTTACAAAATTAAGTCTTAAGCAAACTGGTGCAATAAATTGTTTAAAAAAAGTTTTTTTNTTTTTTTTTTTTTTTTTTTTTTTTTTTTTTTTTTTTTTTTTTTTTTTTTTAATGGCGGGCACTTGGAACAATTGTCCATTGGCCACAGAAAGTGCCAGAACTGCTAACTCTCTCTTCATTACCCTGTGGCGAAGCCACGGCGGTGGAGCAGCGTCGCCCATGTCACACTACCACAACCCGTTTATAGCGGATCACATTCACACACAAAGGAGAAAGGACATGCATGCCTTGCCCGGGATTCAAACCCAGAACCTTTCTGATGCAAGGACAGTTCCCTGCCCCCTACACAGGCCGGTCGGCTTTTAATTATTATGATAATAACAATTTAATTGAATGAAATATTGTTCAGAAATATGCTTTAAAACTACCCCTAAATTGCTTACTATATAGGGGCTCATAAAAAGAAATAGATTACATTTATCCTGTTAGGTGTAAAATCTTTAATTCAATAATCTTTCGCTGGGTGCATAATTAAAATCAAGCAATGACGTGTATGCATGTTGAATGCAGGGAAAGTAGTCTTATTATAAATTTTAGGAAAAGCTTCCTACCAAGATTCTTTTAACAGTCATATGTAGAACACTTTTTTTTAATCAAGATAAAGTAAATAGTGAGGAATAGTTTATAATCGAAAATAGTAAAAGCTTCTTTTACCTCCCACAAAAATAAGCAAAATGAAATAGTTTTACAACCAATTTTTCTTACTTTCATCCCTGCTTCAAAGGCAAGGAAGGGAGAGCTTTTGGATTGAATACTTTACTGTACAAGAATGTCTATAACTCTGCCTTGCGGTGAAAAAAATAAGCTTTGGCCCTGCTAATTATTTACATAAATCAATAAATCAACGCTCGCCTCCTAAGTCACGGTTTACATATGAGATGTGTTTCTGGCAGCGAGCCCCCTCTGCTGCTTAATATAAAATACTTAATTCTAGTGGTAATTTAAAGGAAACATATAATCTAATAATAGTCCTATTGTATTTTATTGAAATGTTGAGTTTTCATAGACAATCGTAAATTTACACAGCGAGTGTGCGTGTTATATGCATTAGAGTAGGAGTGCACAATCTGCCGCCTACGGGCCAATTGAGGCCCATCGACTGTTCGTGTGTGGCCCGCAGGAACTTCTGAGCACAATAAAAAAAACAATTCTTTTTCTTTGGTTTTTGTTTAAACATAAATTAAAATATGAAATTCAAATTTATATTACTCTAAAATGCTTATATTATTTGTACTTTCATTCTGTAAGCTTCTTTTTTGTTGGAATTTATATATCTCCCCCCTACAATATTGATGTGTATATGTATATATATTTGTTAAAATAATTATTTTGAAAAATGAAAGAGTTTTTTTTTTTTTAAATTATCCGTTTTTTTAGTTTTAAGTTAATTCAAATAATTAAAGGTATTTAATTTTTCTGCAAATATGTTATTAAGTTTACTAATAAAAATATTTAGTGCATAGGACACTAATATGTGTATAAAAATTATCATATTTGCCACCAACATCAATAAATATGCTTGTGGCCCTTTGTTAATCTACCTGCAGTGCAAGTGGCCCTTCACTCGAAAAGGTCGTGAACCGCTACATCAGCTTTAGTCTAAAGTGTAAACGGGACTAACACACTTAACTGGTTAAAAAGATTTATGGTTACATTCTTCCATTGACTGATTGTGCTTAAATAAGTATCTAACTGTTAAGGTGTTCTTGAATTGATTGTTTTTCTCACAATCAAGCATTAGAGAGAGACCTTGAAAATGCTCCATCCCCCGTCGGTTCTCCGGAAGGCTTGAACTTGCCTGAATCTGGCGAGGATGACGAAGCAGGCACCAAGACTGTCGGCAACCCGATACCTACTCTTTCTAATTTCTTTTCTCATGGTAACATTTTCCATTAACTTTGATGTTGCATGCTTTAGAAGTTGCCATCTTTTCCTTTAGCTGTTCAAATAGAAAATGGGTTTTTTTTTTAAAATTAATATTACAATTTTAATTATTTTTTCCTGTTTATTAATTGTTAGACAATGTTCCTTTTGTTGCTTTTTAAGTGGGAATTAGGAGAAGTATTCATATTTATTATGTATTCTAGAACTCATTATTAATATGCATAAAAATATAGAAAAAGCATGGAAAATATTAAAGATTAATGAAATAATAATAAGAAAAATTTTTTAAATAGAATATTTAAAAAATCTATATCTATATATTTAAAAACTGGAAAGGAAAAAAAAAAGATATAATCTCTACATCAGCTTTTTGATTATATCTGCAAAAGGGGGTGCTTTCTAATATTGTATCAATATAGCCAAAGTAAAATATATCAATACAATTGAGTGAGAAGCATTCAAAAAAACAAAAAAATTTAAACAGAATACATTAAGTAAAAAATATATCCCATAAAAAGCAGAACAAAACACGGTTAGAAATTTTGTTCAAAAGAAGAGATTATATCTTTTCTTTCTTCTTCTTTTTTTCCCCCGTCCTTTTAAATACATATTTTATAAATATTTTAATTTAATAATTTTTCTTCTTCCCTTTTCATTAATCTTTAATATTATCCTCGTTTTCTCTATATTTTTAACTTATTTTATGAGCAGCTTGCTATATACTTGCAGCTTATGTGCAATAAGTAAAACTTATTAATTTTTTTCTTTTTATACTTTTTGTCTTTATTGTGCTATGTTTTAGTGATTATATTTAATACAGCTTTAGCTCTTAATATTATCTACTATTAACTTACTTTCGTTTTTATTTTGTTTCCATTTTTAATTTGTTTTCTAATTTTGTGTGTTTGGGACGTTGCTCTATGAGCCTATTTTTAAAAAAATTTGTTAAATATGCTGGGTTAAAAAATTTGTTAAATATTTAATTATTCTACATATTGTACCCGGTACGAAGAGCCTATTTCAGAGGAACCTTCGGATCGACATCCTGCTACTCTGAAAGCAAAAGATTTTTTTTAAATTGCATTCATTACTCCAATTTTTTCCTTCTTATTAAGCGTGTGGTGATAAAAGATTTCTAACTTGCCTTAATATTGACAAAAAAATATATTTCATAATAACGATAGCTTCAAATCTGTTTGTAAAATTAGAAATGTTATTTGTATGTTGGTCAAACCTGTAACTCTCTTAATATTGGAATTAATCAACACCGCTCAGATTATTCTACATAATAAAATAATTTCTGTGGATGTCATTCGTATTTTTGACCAAAATACTAAATGTCAATCAGATCAAATTATAAAATACATTTATTATATTATTGTTATTATTAAAAACTGAAGTTATTCTCATTTTTAATCATTATTTTTGTAACAATTATATAGAAAGATTAATTTATTCTATTTATAAAATATTTAAGAGTACTTGCATTGATTATTATAATTCCTCAATTGAAAATAACTCACATGGAGTTGATATTTCTAGCATTTCTTTTTTCGACTCAAATAATAATTTTTTCAATCTTTAATCAAACAACCTTTATTTCTCTCTCTCTTTTTAATAAAGCTCCTACTGTGAGAAATTAAAATTGATCCACTTGTAAAACTAAAGTGTAACAATGGTCTGTGGCTTGAATAGAATCGGGAACATTTATTGTGTAACTATACTTCCACCTTTTTAAATGTACATAAAATTTATTCATTTTTATAGAGGATAAAGGAATGACTTCATGGTTGGATGCCTTTTCGAGCAAAAAAGACTCCCTTAAAATTCTGTCTGAAAAATCTGAAATGAAGAAAGACGACAGTAGCAGCCTGGACAGCCGACTTTCTAATTTGATGCAAAATATGCCATCTTTACCTGCTAGTCTACAGAATACTCTATTTGGCACTAATTCTTTATCAGGAAACAACAGCAACATGGGCGAAACCGTTGAGCCAAAAGCTAGTATCAAAAAAGACTCTTCATCCATTTCTAGTATCCTTACCCCTGTAAAAGATGATTACAGTGGACAGAATACACCTCTTCAAGATGAAGATACTCACTCAGGTCATGCATTTTTCTCAAAATTAGCTTCTAGCAATAAAACTCATAGTCCAAAAGACATTTTGAAAGGTCTTACTAATTTGATCCAGTCTGCCTCAGCAGATAAAGAGGATGGTCAGAAGAAAGACAAGTTTCCATCATTTCTTTCTTCTGATCCTTTTGAACCTCAAACTGGAATGTCCACTTTCATTAAAAGTATTATTCCATCAGTGTCTAAGTCACCACAGATTTCATCATCCCCATCCACCTTTTTTAACACCTCACATCAATCGACTACATCTGCCCCTGCTAGAACCGTCGCTGGCAGTCAGACAACCACTGTTAATTCATATCAAACTACATCATATAATAATGTACCTGCATACTCGAGTCGTTCTCAACTCAGATCTTTCATACCATCATTAGTGCCTTCTAATCCACAAGACAACTTTTTCCCAGCGCAGTCTTTTCCGACAGACGAATACAATCCCGAAATAGAAATTTTTGACACGGAAATGGATCTTGACCCTTGTGAGGATAGCGATTCTGATGTCCCTTCTCCTGATCACGAACCGCTCTCACCTGTGACCGACAACCCGGTCGCCGAGGCCGTAGATGTCCCTAGGCCGATTGCCGAAAGGCGCTTGAGTACCTTAATAACTCTCGTCACTGATGACTCACATGAAGGAAGTCTTCCAGAAAACAAATCCCTCTCAGATGATGCATACAAAAGTGACAAAGAGAATTTCACTGAAGGTGCCCCTCATTGGTTCGACACTTCAAACAATATCCCTTCTGTAGCTGGTTCTATACCTCCACCTCAACCTCATCTAACAGAAGATTTTTTCATCAACAAAGAACCTGACACAGGGTCCCTCACTGAAGACTATTTCATTAACAAACAGCCTGAAACATCTTTACCAGCATTTTATACATCTGCTCCACCTCCCCCATTACCGCCAGTTATGTCACCACCTAATGGTCAAGACAATATGTTCATGAACCCCATCTCCACGGTTACGGACCCACCATTATCTAGGATTGAAACTATTCAATCTCAAAGACAAGGGCCACCCAATGGACAATGGTTCAATGACAATAACAGTAACTGGCACGATGACCGTCGAAATCCTCCGGGTCCTCCGCCTTTTCGGCATGGACGGCCGCCTAACGGACCATTCTTTAACGACAATAGAGACTTTGTTCCTCGTCAGTTTCAACCGCGGCAGAGGTGGGATCATAGAGACAGAGAAGATAATCATTTTCATCAAAAGCGAAATTACCCGTACGCTCCTCGGCCTTTTGGTTCACCGCAAAACAAGCGAATGTCTTTCAGGGGTAGAGGAGGTAGATGGTAAAGGTAGATAAAAATTCCTCGAAAGCAATTATTGCTTTTAATTTTTCTGAAGGATGCCTTTTTTTTTACCAAAAATGTCATCTGTACTAAAATATCTGCATTGTCATTGTTCTCTCACCATAGAAATTTATTACAAAATTTGTTTTTGTTTTGTTGTAAATTTGTTTTAACGAAGCTTGTGGTTGCTTCGTGTACACTATGCAAGAACAGTTATTTGTTTTGTGGAAATGGTTATGTGTAGAATATGCATGAGAAGTTATGTTTTGAACAACCTTGGTGCAGTTGTTTTATTGTTTGGGAAAATTAAAATAAATTTTTCATTCCAATTTTTATGCACCGTTCATTGTAAAATTATGCTGCTTTTCAAGCAAAATTGTAAAAAAAATACTTATTGTACATTAAAATCTATATTATGAAGTTGATATTTTTGTGATTCAATTCGTCATGTTGCATTCACGATTTAAAAGCAATTCCTGCTATTTAACTTTTACAAAATACCCAGATACATTTAGGATAATTATATATGTGTATTATAAACAGCTCTCTTAGCCACATTTATCTCAGGCGGTTTTCGACAATGAGTAGTGAAGGCTTATTGTATATAGTGTTATTTAAGGCTGATTGGAACAAGCCAAGCAAAATAAAAGGTATTAAAATAACAGAAATTGATTAAAACAGGGTTTAGTAAAATGAACTTTGTTCTATTTTTATTTAGTCGAAGCACTTAAAATATAATGTTATTGTTCACTAATTTGTTTTATACTATAAAAATTAACTTTAATAGGAATCAAAACAATGAATTTAACTGTAGCAAGCCTTTAAATCATTGTTAGATAATAGTTACTTTTTTTTTATTCACAAGTTTTATATGCATTAAAGAAAAATAAACATTTTAAATAACTTTCAAAGATGGATACAGCTGCGTCAAAACGTACTTTTTGCAAGATTCAGCTATAAAATCACATATATAGTGTGTCTGTAGAGAGAACTGCCCTCGCCATAAAGTCTAAAGCCATCTGCTGCTATGGAAACAAGAAATACCGCATTTCAAAGATGGGAGCTTGTCTGACCCGAGCAAAAACCTGTCCTTATAAACCCAACAACACAACTTGAAATATTTAAACCCTGTAACCATAGTCACCGCCCCAAACGAATGACGAGAGGAGTTTTTTACTTTGACAGACAATTCTCACTTCACATTCTTGTGACATTTAGTGGTACACTGAAAATCTTTAACGAAATCGAAACTAGCTATGCATACTATCATGTTTTTTTTATCATGTAAATCTTGATCAATTTATTTTTAGTCAGTCAAAGGCAAGGATGGTTTCTGCAGAGAGGAGTTTTATTTCGCCGCTTGCATGTTAAAGAAAAGCGAATATCTTCACTGGCGGAATTTCTTGCAAATTATCTTTATTGGATACCTACTCATTCCGTTTTTCCTCCATATGTTCTCTCGAGTTAGAAAAACGTTCGTTGTGTTAATTAAATTATGCTCACCAGCTGATTACTTTAATTTAATTATGATTATTAATTTGCGAAATTTTTTGTTTTTATAGCTTCGTTCAATTTTCAAGTTATAATTTTTAACGCTATTAGGCAAAATTTAATTCTTCAGATTCTTTTTTAATCACGAATCTTACAATTCGAATTAACGACATTTACGAAGTAGACATCGCAATTTGCATTAAAAGATTTATGACCCACCATTGTGATTTGCAATTAGTATTTACGTGATTAAGGATTCGTTACTCTTACTACGTGACTTTCGAATCATATTTTTCAATCCATATTTACCTGATAAACATATAACACACACATCTCAATTTTGCCTCGACCTACGATTTCAGAGTCCCATATCGAACTTATTTCATATACAAATAATATTTTGCATGGTTATGTGATTTTAAAATCAAACATCGCAATTTGAATTCACTCGGTTTTAAAATCGCTCATCAAGGTTCATATTTATTTGATTTAAAAATAAAACAACGTTCATATTTACGTAATTTAAAAATCGCGATTCGAATCCGTGCGATTTTAAATTTAACATCGTGATACGTATTCACGCGAGTCGAAAATCAAACTGCATTTCTTATTCACGCGATTTTAAATTCAAATACAATTATGATTTGTATTCACGCAAATTTAAAATCAAACAGCGTTTCTTATTCACACGATTTTAAATTAAAACAACGCATTTCTTATTCTCTCGATTTATAATTCAAATATCGCGTTATTCTGGCGATTTAAAAAATCAAGCAATTTTAAAATCAAACATCGTGATTCGTGTTCACGCGGCTTAAATTTAACTCATCACGATTCGTCTTTATGTGATTTAAAATATCATTCCTATTTACACGATTTTAAAATCGCACATGGTGTTTCGCTTTGTCACGATTTTACATCAAACATCGCGATTCGTATTCACGCGATTTAATAGCTACAATTGTGTTCACGCGTTTTAAAACACTATTGTGTCCGTTCGTGTTCACATGACTAAAAAATTATACATTAAATAGTATACATTTATATATTAATGCGTGACAACTAATTTTATTCTAAAAAAGAAATTTTCACAAAATTAAACGTTAAAAAGTTCTCCAATTTAGAACTGTTACAAAAGAATGCTCAAACATTTGCTTATATAAGCTTCTTATTTCTTATAAATTAAACTTAGGTAAGACTACATAATTATTCACAAGATTTACTTACTGTGCATTATTTAGAAGTATTTTTTGCGTCCCGTCTTGAAATTAAACCAGTAAACTTTTCCCATTTACTTCGAACAAGGGTACTATTTAAATTTGCTTACTCAACTTTAAAAAATAATTAATTTTGAAATCGTACTTTAAGCCGAGCTTGATAGATTTTAAAAAAAAAAATCCGTTTTAAATTAAAATTTTCCTTTAATCATCTTTCATCAACCAACATATATGGAAAAAAATTTAGTTGATTTTACGAGATATTATAAATTTCATGATAACTGTTGCGCAATATACCATATATTTTACGTAAAGGGAATTTTGGGGATTTTTACTGTCATCAAAATACAAAAATTTTATTAAGCTAATAACTATAAATGGTCTGCAATTATGATCTATTATTCTCTATTTATGATTAACATTAAATGAATTTGAATTTTTTTTTTATTATGCTAACCCATAATTTTAAATAGTGGTAGGCATGTAATTCATTATTGATAGTTAAAAGACTTTTTAATTAATTCAAAAAGGGAGTTCTAACGAAAAATTTTGAGAACAAACAAAAAAAGGCTTTAAGCTAATTAGTACTATAAATGAGTCTCGCTTAAATATGTATCAGTAATACTTATTTAAATAATAAAAAAAATAATAATAAATAAATCATTAAATTGTGTAAAAATTAAATGTTAATCATATGTTCAAATTCTAAAATCTTGCAATATCATAATTTAAAAATCGATTCAAATTCTCTTTTTAAAAAGAGATGAAAAAGAAAATAACACTTGCTTTCGGGTCGGAAATCAGAGCAAAAAATTTTTATTGCCTAGAAACTTTTTCAATTAACTATTAATAAATAAACTTCTATGAGAAACCACAAAACATTATTCCATTCTTTTTTTATATTGCTTGAACTTTTGGTTGCTTAATGAAGGAGTAAAATTAGGCATTGCTCTCTTGGACTATGGTTATCTTAAATTACTCATTTGCGACAGCGACGTAACTTGGCTGTTTTTTGTGTCTATCGCCAAATGTATAAGTTTCCTAGCCCCCCAATTTATGATCCAATCTTTTCGGAGTTTCGTCTATCCTATTTTGAGGGTCAGGAATCCAAATATGTAAAAAAAAAAATATTAGGAGAAAGTACGTTTTTGTGTCTGGTTTTGTAATTTGCTTTATAGTTATCACCAATTAATTAGCATATTTGAATTCATCCCCAGGAACCATTAAGATTGACACTCAGTACGTGAAAATCCGATCATTAGAACGAAAGTTATTCAGGGTGATACCTTTTTTATTTTGAGCACTGTACATTATGGAGTCAGAGTTACATTGACACATGGCGTTTTAAATTTCAAGCTAAAAAAAAAAAATTTAAAAATCAAAAATGAATACATGTATTGTACATACATCTTTTTTCATGTAAATTTTTGATGACAGTTTTCTTGAAAATAATAAGATCGTTAAGAGGTTAAAAAATTTGACAACAAACGAGAATACACCTTCAGGAAAAACCAAATTAAACCTTATTTTTAAAACCAAATAGCTCTAAATCTATCTACAGTTATGAAAACTGCAAATTTTTCTAAAAAGTCAAAAATTTGAAGAGGGATTTCTTTTAAACAAATATTAAGCTGTCTAAAAAGTCTGCACTTTTTTATGAGGGTGTATTTTGATGTCTGATTCAAAGATTCCGTATTTTAATGATCTCAAACTAACTCTACTGGATTTTCCAGCAGATTTTTGGATTTAACAAGTTTCTCTTGGTTATAGTAAATTAAAAACAAAATTCTTTAAAATTAAGAGGCAGAAAAAAATCCTTATCAAAATTTGTTTCACTTTGTTGCTTGCTTTATTTTTTAAGGAAGCATTACATATAAAGAAAGTAAACTACATTTATAGTCACTTTAAAACTATTCTTTAAAAAATAAAATGAAACAAAAAAGAATTTTAAAATTTTCAGTTCTATATTCTCTAATGATTTAAAAGAGTTACGCGTTATCATATAAATGCTCCAAAATAAATTCAAAATCTATTATTCAAAATCATGAAAAAAATTAAAAACAATGAGAANAATCAGTTTTAAATTAAAATTTTCCTTTAATCATGCATATATTATAGCTGCCAACATATATGGAAAAAAATTTAGTAGATTTTACGAGATATTATAAATTTCATGATAACTGTTGCGCAATATACTATATATTTTACGTGAAGGGAATTTTAGGGATTTTTACTTTCATCAAAATACAAAAATTTTATTAAGGTAATAACTATAAATGGTCTGCAATTATGATCCATTATTATTATCTATTTATGATTAACGTTAAAGGAATTCGAAGTTTTTTTTTTTTTTTTTACGACGCTAACCCATAGATAGTGGTAGGCATGTAATTCATTATTGATAGTTAAAAGATTTTTTAATTAGTTCAAAAAGGGAGTTCTAACGAAACATTCTGAGAACAAACAAAAAAAAAAGCTTTAAACTAATTACTATAAATGGGACTCGCTGAAATATATATCAGTAATACTATTTAAATAATAAAAAAAGCAGTAAACTGTACAAAAATTAAATGTTAATCATATGTTCAAATTCTAAAAGCTTGCAAAATCATAATTTAAAAATCGATTCAAATTCTCTTTTTAAAGGAGATTAAAAAGAAAATAACCCTTGCTTTCGGGTCGGAAATCAGCGCAAAAAATGTCTTTTGCCTGGAAACTTTTTCAAGTAACTATTTTAGCTATTAATAAATAAACATCTATGAGAAACCACAAAACATTCTTTCTTTCTTTTTTTATATTGCATGAACTTGGTTGCTTAATTACGGACTAAAATTAGGCACTGCTCTCTTGGACTAAAAAAAATAGACCCTTTGATGACCGTTTTCTTAAAAATAATAAGACCGTTAAGAGGTAAAAGAATTTGACAACAAACGAGAATACACCCTCAGGAAAATAAAGCCAAAAATTTTATTTTTGTAACCTAATAGCTCTAATATGCTCAAAATCTATCTACAGTTATGAGAGCGATTTCTTTTAAACAAATATTAAGCTGTCTACACTTTTTCATGGGGGTGTACTTTAATGTGTGATTCAAAGATTCTGTATTTTAAAGATCTTAAACTAGCTCTACTGGATTTTCCAGCAGATTTTTGGATTTAATAAGTTTCTCTTGGTTATAGTAAATTTTAAAAAAAAAATATTCTTTAAAATTAGGAGTCAGAAAAAAATCTTTAACAAAATTAGTTTCACTTAGTTTGTTGCTTGCTTTAGTTTTTAAGGAAGCATTACAGCTAAACAAAGTAAGCTACATTTATAGTCACTTTAAAACTATTCTTTAAAAAATAATAAAATGAAACAAAAAAGAATTTTAAAATTTTCAGTTCTATATTCTCTAATGATTTAAAAGAGTTACGCGTTATCATATAAATGCTCCAAAATAAATTCAAAATCTATTATTCAAAATCATGAAAAAAATTAAAAACAATGAGAATTTTATTCAAATAAACGTTACTCAAGAATTGAAAATACTGTAGTCAATTTAACCTCTTAATTATAAAAACAAAATAATTTTATACATTTTGTCCTTTTTTTTCACAATAAAAAACCTTCAAATTCTCTATGTCTAAAATATTTTAAATATTATTCGAAAGCTAGCTTCAGGGTATCTGCTACATTTCGGAATTTCAAATTCATGACTTAACGAAGTTACTATTTTCTCGGACAAAAACACAACAATCTAAAAAAGCATATGTAATAATATTTACTGAAATCATAGGTAAAACCAAAACTGTTATACTCAGCATCTTCATATTTATAGATTTTAAATTTAAAAAACAAAGTAAAGAAAGAGTTGAAGCAATAAAATAGCAGAAAAAAATACAAAAGCAAATAATTTTTTTCTTCTTTTTTTAATACAGAATTACATTCTAAAGATACTTTTCCTGTTCATCAGAAAGGAAAGAAATACTCCTGATTTTTCTGTTCTCATTTCGGAATAAAAAAATTCGCCAATGACTGGCTTCAGCTAAAATTTTAAAATAAAAAATAATAACAAAAATTCTGAAATCACAGAAGTTTAAAAGATAATTTGCTCCAGAAATGATGTTTTTCGTTCATTTTTTGAAAGAACACCACAATTTTTAAAGAACACGATAAAAACATTTTATATTTTAATCAAATATCACTGTGAATGGGGACTTTGTTACAAATTCAGATATTCCAAACACCATGAAATTGGGGGAGGGGGTGAATTCCATTTCAAAAACTAGATTTTTCGGCAACCTAAATCCATGACTTTTCATGCTGTTTTTTTAAAAAAATAATTAAAATCATGACAAATTTTGTTCAATACCGAAATTCATGACTTTCCAGGTGCGCGGATACCCTGTAGCTTGGGAATATTTTTAAATTCCCACGTTTTTCTTTAAATATTTTCCATTTTATCTCTGTATTTATGGTATTAAAGATCACACTCCAATAGCACTATATTCTTTAATCCAAATTTATTAGTGACCACAATGTAGTCAGACAGAGCACAATCCAATGAACTTTTAACAAAATTTGCAAACATAAGATCCCTTAAAAGTTTATAAAAACGTTGCTTTCAAATTTAAGTTAAATTGTACTTAAGTCCTATACAATTAAGTCTAATGAATTAACAGATACATTTTTTGTTTTTTTAAATGGTGTTCTTTCAATTCAGCGCTTATATTTGAAATAGCATGTTTTAAAATTGAGACTCAGCTTCCCAATTTGTTTGCGCTTAAATACAAAAAGAAAACTTATATGTAAAATAATCAGCAGATGCTGTAATAACCTGCAACTCCAGCTGCCCTTCCAGAGGATTTCTGATACCGGGAATTACACCTCCATGAAAATAAAACAAGAATTCATGAAAAATAAAGAACAGAACACAATTTTTCAGCCACTCATTTACTGATCATAATACATATCCCAATATAATAAAGTCGTTTGAAACCGAACATTCCACAACAAATATACACAAGTTTTCAAGTGGTCATATATAGACAAAATAATTATATTTACAACAAACATTCTCATTTATACCACGCACCATGCTTATTTTGAGTAACAATACAGTAGTACTGTACAATAAAACAAAAAAAGAAACATCAAAACAAAAATATCAAGAAAAAACTAAATTTAAAAATGTAAAACACAAACATGAAATATTATAAAAAATTAAAAAGGTTTTGTTAATGTATGAAAAGTTACATTACACTATGACTATGATTCCAAAAAGCTAGACTGCACAGAACACATTCATTCACTAACAAAAAAAATTATTTGTAAATAAATATAATTTTTGAGTTATTTTTAATAATTTTATACAATAAAAGGGTGAACCCCTACAATTGTTACTTTTAAGTTATTTTTATTTCTTACTGTGAAACAAAATTTATTTAAAATCAAAATGACTACAATTTTTACATTTTATTTAGCTACATTTTATAAGACAACAACCCTCACATTGCATAAATTATTCAAAAAATATACATATCATATAGGAATTATGTTACTATAGGTCCAGAATACATGATAAACAAATTCTCTTATGTTACAATAATCTTTATAAATATATAATTTTTTTAAATTAATTTTTCAAACAAAACTCATTAAAATAATATATATATATACATATAGCTTTAACATTTCATTTACAGTTCTGAAGTTCAGCAAAAGTTGATGTTTGAGAGACATTAAAAGATATGAAATTATTGTATTGCATATATTGAAAAACTGATTCGAAACATAACTAAAATCTAAATTTATAGGAAAACATACAACAGTCATATATAAGGAAGAGTGGGGTAAGACCGTGTATCTTGATTATGTCGAAACTGGCTGTTTTCTAAAGGAGAAACTCCGAGTTACACTTTACTAGTCAAGGATCTACTATATTGGGGTATTTTTTATTAATAAGGTTGTTTTGCAAAGTCAGTTCTTTAATTAACTTTAGAGTTATAAAAATTAAGTCCAGCTTATTTACCATTTACTGAATATACATGCCCTAGCAAGCAATCAAGAACTCAGTCCAATAATAGCACTGTTCTGTTTCGATAACCTTTGCTGTCAGGGTAAGTTCGGGTACCCCCTTGATGTGCATATAAGCTGCAGAACTGTAGAGGAAGATAACTACATCTGAGACAGAACAAAGGTTTTACAGGTCCCAGAACAAAATTTATTATGGGCTTTTTCTTCAAATACCAAAAAAAAAAAAACTTATTTTCATATTTTGTAGAATTTTTGAAGACTCTTTATGCAAAATTGTAATTTTTATAAAAAGAAATTCTCTATAATTTTCCTCCAAAGAAACTAATTAAGAAACATTTTTTGGTTGGAATTTTGATCCGGCCCTCAGAAGCCTTGGGATAATTGTCCCTTTCCCTTCCCATGAGTATGGTCTTGACAAGATCACATGTAAATTACATGCATACTTTTCTCAATTTGTCATAAAAAATAGAAATATTTGTTCTTTTTTTTTACTGAATTTCTAGTATTTCTAGATTTCTTATGAGTTAACATGTGTACCCAGTCTTACCACACTAGTTGGGTAAGACTAGGTAATTTTATTTTTTTCTACAAAAAAAAAATTAATTTATTAAAAAAAAAAGTAGTACATCTATGACTTTTCAGAAATGATATATTTTACACAACTAACAATAAATATCTTGATTAAATTTCTCAGTTTTTAAGTCAAATAGTTTAGCTCCAACAGGTCCTTGAATATTAGCTACCTGGTCATATCCCACTCTATTCTATACATATGTATGCTACTAAGTCAGCAAATTCAGATTGAATATAAGGATTAAGCATTTCCCACATTGCTTAGGCACTGTATACAATTACACTGTCAAATGACAAACCAATAAAATATGAAATATCAGATCATACTAGCATGGTAACGAATTCCTTGTATTAGTTGAAAGTAATTTCTGAAAGCAAAAAATAGATTCATATTTTATTTTGCTTTCTTTAATAAGAAAGGCATATATCACCATGTAAAATCAATAATGAATGAGATAATAACCTGGCAGGGATATGGGGACCATTATCTGATATATTCCCTACAAAAATGTTCTTTTTAAGGTAAAGGGCCACTGCTCAGATAACTTGTCCAGTATTTCCTACACTTTCTTTTTTACTTACCAGATATTATTAATAAAACCCAAATAAGCATGTTAAAGTAAAATTTATGTATCATGAAACTGATTATTTGAAGAAAGAAACTTTATTTTTTTTTAGTTTCTAAGAAAAGACAGTAAATAAAAATTTATTCACTGTTTTTATCTTCATGATTTATATATGCCAACCATATGTTGTCTAAAGAGCAATTATTATTGTATACAATGCCTTGGTAAAGTATATCCTAATACATAATAATAATAATATGTATCCCAAAAATGCCAGGCATTGTCTACAATGCTAGCATAGCTAGTAACATATATATTATGCTCAACAATGTACAATCAGCTAGTTAATCAAGGCTTTAATATATTTTTACAGCATAGGAGTACATTGCTAAATTGAAGAAAACACATATAGTCAATTCATTGATGAAATACATTAATTTTAGAGCCATTTAGAACACTAACGAATTGTTTCTCCTATTGCATTCTAGAACTATTATCATGCATTAGCAAGGAAAAGTCTTCATTAGTGGCAAAAACTGAACAACTGATTCAGCAGATTATATTGAGACTAGTACTTGCTTTACAGTTGCGTAAATAAAGCAACCAATGGAGGGAATATCATAAAACAGAGAAGTTAATTACAATTAAAAATGTTATCTGCATTTCTTTTAATTTCCAATTCAATTACCTGAGTTTCGGCTATAATTTTTCAAAAGTTAAGATAAAAAACATTTTTAAATTTTATTAATTTTTACCTCTAAGAGTTGAACCCCTGAGCAAAATTTTACTGACATTTCTCTGCGATACACCACACTATTTTCTTGTTAAATGAGATGGGAAAAACCGGTTTTCTGACAAAAGAAAAACCGCTCGGATACTCAGAGGAAATAAATGATACAAGAGTTCATTAAATGAAAAAAAAATTTTTTTTTTTTAAACATTACAGTCGATATTTTCTAATTCTATAGCAGATATGTTCATACAACAGATGATTTTAATTCTTAGCAACAGTACGAAGAATTTATCTTGGTTAAAGACGTGCACGGAAGAAAACTTCCACATAAACTTGCTCATAGGCATATATTAAGCAGCATATTTAAGTATACACATCATCAAAAAATGCTACAGATAAACAAGAAATATATCAAGCTGTTGTACGTATAAACTACCTCCTAGGGATGCACAAAATTTTTATTCTTAGTCATAAAAGCATTTTTATTTTTTAATTCTGAGTAATTTTCTCTAAATATTTATTTAATGTAGCTGATTATTTTATTTTTTAAATAAAAGAATGATCAAAATGTTTTACATTAAAAAGCTTATTGCAAAATATTTTATAACTTTTATAATAAAATAAAAATTTTGAATTTTTAACTAATTGTAAGTTCAACAAAATAATGAAAATAAAATGTAATTACTAAAAAACCATCTATTTTCATAGAAAGATTTAGACTGACTTCTCCAGAATTGTTAATTTCCAATTAGCTCTTGAAGAATTACCTTTAAAATGCTATTCATTATTTTAAAAAAAATATTACAGAATAAACTAAAATTGAGATTTTCTTACTAAATAATTTAAAAAATTTTATCTATTATATCATGATTTATTAAAAATGTTTATTCCCCGATTCAGGGGAATTTGAGCTGTACTATTAATAAAAGTAGTATTTTAAATGTTTTTCCTGATATAGTTATATTTTAACTGTTTAATTGTATTTTAAAAATCAGGTTTTTTAAAAGAATTAAAAAAAAAAAAAACATTTTTGAAAATTAGCATTGAATGATTTAATTTATCACATCTTGATACTGTTTTGCAAGAATAGCAAATCAGCAAGACTGCCACCACTTTTCATGTATAAGGCATTTAAGCTTATTCCATGAAATGAATTACTAAGAAAACAATTTAAAATACTTTTACGAATTTTCTGAAGAAATACTTTTTGCTTTTAAATAGTTATATAAAATAATTTCAGTTGCTATGGAAAAATTCTTCAATAAATTTCTTTTTTGAATGTTTAAAGTTTATATTGTCAATAAAATAAATTTAAGAAAAACAAAAATTCCATTGAATAAAAAAGTAATTTTAATTTTATAAAATCCCTATTCAATGCATCCCTAATATTTCCTGTACAATTTATTTCAAAGTTACAGAATAAAATATAGCTGTGCAGATAACTGAAAGTCAACTTTTTCATCGAAGTAAAACTTCTCTATCGACGTGAGGAGAATCGGCAGCATCGTAAAATCGACTGTCGTTTTGTACGATGAAGCCAGCTTCATCTTTCTGATATCCAGGAGCATGCCATGTGTAGGCTGGAGGATTTTTGTGTTGATTGCTAACCAAATCATTGACTATTGTTGGGTTGTATTGATGGCTGGACAACTCCACCATGTTTGAGGGGTAGGAGTTGAATGGTTTTTGGTATGGCTCTTCAAGGAATTCAGATTTCACAGTGACTGGGTATTGCTCCAAGCTTTTGTTGATGATTTCATCTGAAATGCCTTTGTCTATCTGACCAGAATCTACTTCTTTAGCAGATAATAAGACACGGCCTAGAAACGAAAGTTTAAAAAAAATTATTTGCTGTTGCACAGTAGGCAACCAGATGAAAGGAGAACACTTAAAAAAACAGAAGGATAACTATTTACTATAACATTATTTAATTGACATTCGTTTAGAATTGGAAACCATAAAAGTCCATGGTCAGAAAGTAGAGTTGGGTCAGTCTTAACCATAAGAATTTGAACAGTAATTTAAACCATCCTGGTCAATATTAGTTTTGATCCACTGATATTTATTCCATTTATATAATACTATATCAAATATATTTCAATAGCATATGTGAAAATTAAGTTTTAATGTTTGTTAAAAAGTAAAAAAATGCCACGATGTAACACTTAGATACAATGTAAATATTTTAATTTTACTTTTTTATAGAAGGTTTTTTATGTAATATGTATTGATTTTCAAAAAGGATTACGAATGATAGGTTATATAATTTTTATTTAGTTCATTTTTTTTTTAAGTTTAGCTTTCTTTAAATTAAGACTTTTTTGTTTTGGATTATTCCTAACTTAGAAAATAATTTTTTCATTAATAAAGAACATTGGAACAACAATTCATCAGATGTAATATAAATTTACATTATTAACTTGTGTTTTTAACGAACTGGCTTATTTCTACAGTCACACTGTCCATTTTAATGTTCTTATTGCTTAGTCATTTTTAACTGCACTTTAACTTTCATTATTACTAAAGTGATTTTTCAAAAAAAAATTTAATAAGAACTTATTAAGACCATTTAAGATTATTTTTAACAGTTTTGATTTTTAGACTACTTCTGGATGGTTAAAACCACTTTTATTCAATTTCATGGTCAAAATCATTTTTGACTGGTAAATATTACAATCCTATCAGGAAGTTAAGTTTGATAAATCTTTAGTGCTACAGTGAAATATGTTTTAGTTGACCCCTTGTTCCTTGATTTGGTGGTGAACTTATAGAGGGGAATGGGTCATTGATTTATTTATATATAAATATAGTTTGTCTAAGGTAAGAACTCCCCCTGCCACAAAGTTTGAAATCCTCTGCTGCTGTGGAAAGAAGAATAGCTCATTTCAGGGAGGGTAGCTTCTCTTCACTTTGGGACAAACACAATAGACTGAGGAAAAGATAATCTTTCTCTCGCCGAAACCCGTTCTAGATAATGACCCCACACCCCTACTTGAAATAGTTTTACCTCTTTGCCATAGTCACTGCCAGATGAATGGCTAAGGAAGTTTTTACTTTAGACAAACTATAGATTGGTATTCTTACATACATCAGAATAATGTATGTTATAAATTTTCTGATGACGTCACTTGTAATCGGATTCAAATTAGTTCTTAATACTATTTTATCAATTCCTTGCAATTCTAATACATTATATAGTAGCATAGAAAACTTCATAGTAAGTTTTTTCTTCCTGGTCGACTCATGAAATACTTAGAATAACGCTACTAGACAAATTTGACTTATAATCACAGTCAACAAACAAGATAAACAGTTGGTCCAGTTATGATATAAGATATCGATACCAGGAAGGGAAAAAAAAGTCCACAGTTTCACTTTACTTTCGATTATATTTATTCTTTTATACATGAAGACCTCAGAAGTAAAAGGTGATTATCTCATAAAAACTTTTCTAACGTAATTATATCAAAATTATTATATCAGTAATTATATCATTCTGCTAAAATAGTATGAGTCTCAGTAAAGAGATGGCACCACAATATTGGCTCATAAGAAGTCATATCTGTGCAGTGAGCTTCAGGTACATAGGTCAGGACTGAACATGAAATATATTTGTTCAGTTGCAGTTTTATATTCTTTTTTATGCATGCTGATCTAAGGCCATTTAAACATCTGTTTAAGGATAGAGTTCATTTTTTAACTTACTATGTTATGAGAATTACAGAACCCAGATACAGGACTGCCACATAATCACGCTTTTCACAAAATATCTTAAAGAGGGGTAGGCAATTAGAAACTAAAGCTTTAAGAATAATTAGCAATTTTGCCACCACTTCAAAATCCTCATCACGAGAGAGCTGCAACTAAATGCACTTAATATGAGCTTTTAAATCATTTAGGGGAGAGTCGGGTAGCCCTGCCCACTTAAGGAGTATTGCTTATATTTCTGTGTAATATTGAGTAATAATCAATATTTTTGCATGTTTCTATTGTTTTATCATCTAATTAAATAATGCAAAAAGAATGAACCAAAAAAAGAATAGTTTAACTTAAAAAAATAGAAATTTAAGAATAGAAATTTTTCTCAGCTCTTTTCAAAATGTGTCAGGCAGCCCCGCCCAGTTACAAAAATTAAGTTTTTTGACTGTTTTTTCAGGTGTAAATGAAAATGACCAATGTATTGACAATAGATAAACCTCATTTATCATTTTTATCACAAATTTTATTTATTACATATTTATATACTTTTAGTGAATTCTATTATTCAATAACAAATGTTATACATATATTTGTTGCTAAAAATGCATGTAACATTCAAATTTGAAGCAATAAAATAATAATCTTTGCAACCGTACATTTATCGACGAAATAAAATTGGGCGATGACACCCGACATTCATGTAAGCGGGGCTACCCGAAATCCAATTTTTTTGTAAATTTTTAATTACTCGAACAATTTTCCACATATAAGCTTCTTTCTTTGTGCAAATTAAACTTAAGACTACATACTTTAATGCTGTATGTATAGAAAAAATTATTTTTTTAGTATTAAAATGAAGTTTAATCGAAGCATTCAACCAATTTTTTTTAATTTCATGACTACTGTATTCAACATATTTTCGAAACTATTGTATACCATCTTATCAGCTGCATAAATGCTTGAAACTTTGAAAATAATCTTTTTTTTAATGTAACAATTAATGTCCGATGGCCCATTGACTTGAAAAAATATTCAACACATATGAAATTGACAGTGGGCGGGAGTACCCGACACTCCCCTACATGTAACCGACACACCCATACATGTAACAGTTTGAAAAATAACTTCAAATTAAATTTATAAAACTAAGAATCGTACATTAAAATATAAAATTAACTAACGTTAGAAAAAATTTCCCAAAAAGTGCAGAAATTTGACAGCCTGGCAGACATCAAAAGTTTAGTACAGTTTCATGATTGTATGTATAAAAATCAAAGTATGGTTATATTTATTTATCTTTAATAAAAACTATATATATTTTCTACATTTATTTAAAGCTTAAATTTCCAAGAAATCACATCAGAAATTTACTTTGACTTAATAAAATTAATTACATACTGTATAAATAACCAATTGAATCATGTTCTACAATTGAGTGTTTTCAAAACTTAAACATATTATTCAGCCAAGCTTATAATCCACATACAATGTAAGAAAGACATGAATAATAAAAAAAAAACCTAAATATGTAATTTTCTTACCTGCAACAGGTGCAGTATCTTGAGTTTTACTGTTAGAAACCAAGCCTTTGTGCTCATAGTTGGTTGTAGGAAAAAGACTTGGTAGAAGAAATAAGAAAAATGATGCTAACAGTATCTGCAAAATCAAATCACAATTAGAAAAAATATTAAATTACGTATGGAATATTTAGAAAATAAATTTGGGTCTCATAGAGAAAACACTGCCAAAAAATAAACATAAAAATTAAGTTATATTACTTAACAACTTTCAAATTTACTCCAAATAATTATAGACTTAGTAATCCACAAATTTTTCCCTAAATGAGCAATAAGCCCTGAATCACCTGCTTTAGTTCTAAATTAATTAGTTTAAAAATGTGTTCTATCTAATTTAAGACTATTGAGTTTTATAAATTCTTAGCAGATTCATTTTTCATCTCTATATCTTTCTTTCATCCTATCAGTTCCCTTCACTAAGTAGTTCTTGTAGATGTGGTGAGCATTAGATGCTAACATATTAGTCCCTTTATAATACGGATTAAGTAAGGATTATTGCGAAAATTTTTCATACTTGAAAAGACATCAAGACGTGCATTAAACTTTTTCCTGCCGTGGCAGTTTGTTAGATAAAATTGCCAGAGGCGGGGAACCCTTGTTTAATTACAGAATTGCCATTTGACAAGGCTAATTGCCTACTTACGCATTAGCCATCATTACTTGACCAATAATTTCTGACCAATACTGGTCAATAGAACAATCTTCTAGTTTTTAATTTTCAAAATTCTTCACGTGTCTAAAAGGCGGCAAATTACACACACACAGTAAATGGTAAAGCCTTGAAATGAATTAGACCTCTTGGAAGCTAACTTAAAATTGTTTCGATATCAAAGATTAGATAAAATATTTCATTGCATTTTTAACAACTATCTATTAACTCACTGATTGTTTCTGAAAAGAAAAAGTCCTACTTTAACCTGCAATCTTCTATGTATAGTAAAACCGGTTTTCAAATGTTAATAGATAGAGGGATAATGTATAGGGGAGAAATTTTCTCTCAATTTTGCCCATTTGCTAAACTGCCAGTGGATTAAGGTAAGTGTATCCTGGCTACATAGGACCCCTGATAAACCATACAAAATTGTTTTTGATTTTCTTCCTTTTTTTGAATAATTTATAACTTAGCTCCAAGCTGTACTTTATATCTGTCAATGGTAATAATTTATCTTCTTCCTTGCCAATTAAGCTATTTTCACGAATTACATATATTTTAAAAACATTTCTTTTGCTTCATTAAAACAATTTATGTACCATTGGTTCATCATTTTTAAATAATTTAAAATGATTCGGGGGGAAAAAAGCAATACTATCTGCTATAAAAATTAATTTAACCTTGATGTCAAATTTTAGAAATTTTGTAATTCTCTGATACTGATGTGATTGCTGTTAAATGAATTTAGCATACAGAGAAAAAAATTTTAGGAAGTACTTAATGACTAATTCCCATTGTACAAGAATTTCTGCAGCAGCTGGTCTTAGAGTCAGCCATTTAAATAAGGAATGTTTTATAAATATAGAACTTTTAATATTCTTCTCCTTTTGTTATCTGTAAAAACTATTTTCCTCATGATGGTTAAATAAAGAAATTACCAGCCTTATCATTTCATTGCTTCGAATCCTATTTAAAAGACATTATGAACTTTGTATAAAGTGACAAACATAAACTTCTTTCATAAAACCAGAGAAGCCACGTTTATCAATCTATTGACTGTTTAAATAACTTATAATAGGCATATTTTTAAAAGGCAAGTTAGCAATTGCTACTATGTTTTAAGCATACAAAACTTTGCTAGTTGCATGGCCTAAGAAAAGAATATGCACAAGTTTGTCATTTCTGTTGGACCAACACTGAATTGCACTGGAAACCAGTTTTGCAAGAATTCATTAAATCAACACCAATGTGCCATGGTGGTTCAGGGGAGAGCGCTTGCCTCCCAATGAGGTGAACTGGGTTTGAATCCAGCACCCAGCTCGCACAGAGCTGATGTAAATTAGCCTCAGTGGTAGATGGATTACGAATTAAGATTCCTCTTGACATCAGGCTAAGCGTGGGAGGTTTTTGTAGTTTTCCTCTCCATGTAACGCAAATCCGGATTAGTTCCATCCACAGGTCCTCTACAAAGGCAAATTTTACCCAATACTTGATCCAGGAGTTCCCTTGTCTTCTGGATTGGGTTCAAACTTACAAGGCTACGGAGTTCAACATTAGTAGAAGTAAACTCTAAAATTTGGGTTGGCCTTTCAATGACGGTTACTTATACATATAAAAAAAAAAAGAAAAAATCAACCCTAAACTGGAAAATGAGAAGAAAAATATTTTTTTTTTTTTTTTTTTTGGCTACTANTTTTTTTTTGTTTGACTAAAGAATGATAATAAAAAAATTGGCACTTGTATACGCTGGTAATTTGATACAAACTTTTTCTTAAAAAAAAATAGGGATTTTGTAGAGACCAAGCATTAAAAAAGGGAGAGAAAAAAACACCAAATAAAAAAGCCACTTTAAGGGACCAATGATGTACTGAATGTAGGGTGGAGTATTGGAGAGATACAAGAAAAGAGAACTTAGGTTTATAGACAAATTTTATGGCACGGCATAGATATAAAATTCAATATTTAAACTAAGTTTTATTAATAATAATTAAAATATACCAGAGTAAAAAAGAACGACACCACCACACAAATAATTAACAATCCATACCAAATTGATCAATACAATATAATTTAAATTCTTGATTTATCACAACCCATTCAAATAATTTGATAAATGATACTTACCATAAAACATGTGCTAGTTGGAACTTGTTTTGTAGAACTTCCAGCAATGACTGATTGCAAATGTTTAATTTGATCCAACAAACCTCTGTAGGTAACAATGCGGAAATATTAGCCACATCTAATAGAATGTTTTAAAAATAAAATACATAAAATAAAATAAAAAAGCGTTTTCAAATTATGTTTGAATTCTGTATTCAAATTTGCAGTAAAAGCTACGTCTAATATTAATTCGAAGTGTTCAAACTTTGAAAATACTTTAAAACCATTTTCCTTCCTCAGAACAATAATAATTAGCTTTTTTTCTAAAAAATTTACAAAAAATAATAATAATAGTTATTTTCTTAATAATAACTCAGTCTATCATTATTTTAATTTAATAATAACTAACTGTTCCATGCACATTTAGTTGATCTATTTTATTTATTTACTATCATTAATAAAAGCTACATACATAGTTAATCAACTAAGCAGTCAGAATTTTTAGTTTTGGGCAGGAAACATGCAATTTATTGCCCATAATAAAGAATTCTGATAACTGTGCATACTGAGTACTTTATGATAACTCTAAATGCACTCATTGCATATAAGATATTAATATCCAACTATATTTATACTAATTTTAAAGATTAGTTCAATATTAATTACAATTATAAAAATCACTGAATTTTTAAGATTATAAAACATAACTTACTTCAATTCAAATAATATCAATAAAGCTTTGAATTCAAAGTAGATAATAAATTCTAATAATTAAAACAAAAGCTATTTCTTTTGATCAATATACAATTCAAATAGCACAATTAAAAATTAGTAATTTTTTACCTGCCATATCTTTTTTCCTTTTTAACAGTTAAGCATTTTCAATATAAATTTATTCAGATACATAAATTCAGCCACAAAAACTTACTTTTGTTGGTTTTCTAACACTTGCACTTTTTTCTGCAACCGCATATTTTCTGTTGTACAAATTTTAACTCTAAAATGAAAACAAATGTTACCAAAAAAGCTACATCTTATTAACTATTTAAGTAATATTATTTATAACTAAATGCTTAAACCTTCCAAGGACAGTGGGATAAAAACTATGTTACTTATTTTTGATAATATAAACCTCTAAAATTGTAATAATTATTATCTATTTAACACCTTTAGATTAACTACTTTTCATTTTGAAAAATGTAAACATAAAGCAAATCATATTCATGTGGATATGTATACGATGACCAATCCTCTGGGCTGTTCTTGAATACACTTTTTGATACAAATTTTCTGCCTCGTAAAAGATTAAAAAACTGTTTACGAATTACTTAAATCTAACTAAAGATCAGATGTACTACCATTCTTGCTTATTCCACAAAAATTACAAAAGACAAGTTTTGGCGGCCAACATTAACATAATGTTGTAATTAAAGAAATACAAAGAGTATTAAGATTTTATTCGAAAGTAACATAATTGAGTTACAAATGTATAATTAATCTTTTACTATGTACAATCAAGCCCTGCTACAGTGAACTGTCTGTGTCTAATATGTCCACTATAAACATTGGTTTCTTGCATCCAAATTTCTTTAAAAATATATTTTAGCATATGATAGTTGAATTACTGAAAATAGGGATTGCGATTTTGCATAATTTGTTTTAAAAATTATTAACGAATTAAATAGATAATAAATTAAACTTTATAGAGAGAAATACTAACTTAGCTAAAAATGGATTTTTAATTTTACATTTTATGAAAGAAATTAGTGATTTTTGATTGAAAGACAATTCGATTTAAATAGAGTTCAACAATTTTCTTATCTTCAATATGCAGGGGAATTCAGAATTCAGGACTTTCTGATCCATATTTTCTGTAGAAAAAAACATTCAGGATTGTTTACTGTGTGTTTTACTTCATATATAGATGATGCTGAAATTTTATTTTCTTCTAATTGATATTCTTCCTAATCTTCATTCATTTGTTGAATTTCAGAGACAATGCCATCACAGGTAGGGGTACCAGAAATGCTCACTTCATCATTGCAACATTCAAATTGATCAATACATTCCCAGGAAAAATGTCTTCCTGTTTTTCTAGCCATTAGAGATAGATAAATTGTCTTCATCATCTAATTCCTTCACATTGGAGTCTTTTTCTTCCTTCGAAAGACCTGTGTTTCAGAAACAGTTGCAAATTGTTATTGGTGTCACCTGCCTCTATCATTTTTCAAACAAAACTAGAAGAGATGCTATATTCTGTGTCTGTGTTGCTTTCTTCGTAGTTTTCTAAAACATGCATCAATAGTTATCTTTCATAGTGGGACTTCAGACTCTGAATAACGTCATGGTCTTTGAGCTGCAACACAGAAGTCATATTTGGAGGTAGAAATAAGAGCTTAATGCACTTGACTTTTTGAATGGAGGTGAGCAGCATGCACATGCAAGTTTAAAGTTGGAGGACTGAGAAAAACTTAAGGAAATGAAACTTGAGTCCACTATAACCAAACTACCATTTTCTCACCTATACATTATAAGTGTTTAAAAAAACATTATCTAAATGGAATTTGGGAAGGGACCAATGAAAAGGTTCACTACAACCAAGTTCACCAACCACTATAATGGGATTTCACTGTATAATTTTATAAAAATGCAAATAAATTCAAACAAATATACCTATTTATAATGCTAGAAAGCAAATTATGGTGAGTTTATAGCTATACACAAAAGGGTAACTTAAATTTACATTTATCCTAAAATTTAATTATTCGGAAAACAATTTTTTACTAATACAGTATTTTAAAAAAATTTGACGTTTGTTGCCAGCATTTTGAAAAATTATAATTTTCTTTTCTTACAGACTTTTGAAATTTTCTTTTTATTTTTAGTTAATTTTCACAAGTTATTCATTGATTACATTTCATTGCAAACACTGACCCCATTGCATTAATTGAACTTTCATAATGGTTACATTCAGATTCTTTGAGAAAGGTTGTGAACTAGATTAATAACTTACTGTAACAAAGCCTAGCTCGAAAAATAATTCTCTTTTTTTTTCTTTTACATATTTATTAATATATTAGACAATTCAAAGGCCATTGACTAATAAGAAATTTGCGGGCTATTTTTGGCCGACAAATTCATTAGGTTTCATAATCCTATTCTAAATTTTCACATTAGAAATAATTACCTATTTTCTAAGCCATCCACATATTCTTTTTTCCGTTTGCGGCTTTCTTGAGCTGAATGCTAAAATAATAATAAATATTATCAAAACTAAATGCAACTTAAGTTAAAAAAATTATTATAATAATTTTAGAGTTATTTAACTTCAACTCTATACAACTTTTAAAAAAATTAATGAAGCAAAATAATATAATTAACATAAGCAAAACTTAAAATATTTAGCTTGTTTTCAATATGGAAGTCTTACCTTATTTCTTATTTTTCTGCGAATTCTTTTCAGCTCTTTTTCTTCAGCCTATAAGATAAACAATACATAAAATAAAATGGTTAACTTTTATCTAATTAACATGTTTCTTAACGAAAAAATCTGTGCCGCAAATTTGGGTTCTACTGGTAGTGAAAAGGCTTAATATGGCAAAAGCTCCAAAGATACTTAAATTTTATCCTTAGTTTAATCCTTATTGGTGGCTTAAAGGAATGTTTTGCTTTATTTCTTATAAAAATGTCTTAAATAAATATAACGTAAGATCTTTGCTAGATGCTAATTTATCAAAAACACCTTAGTTGATGACATAAAAAAATATGAAAGAGAAATAAAATAAAAAATGAATAAAAAAAAAAGAATCTAACAATGTGTGCTTTGCTTGAAAAGTTTAAAAAATACCTGCTTACCTTTCTAAAAAATTCATAACTATCACTGATTTGTCGTTTTTCTGAAAAGTAACTTCTATTCTAACAAATGCTTAGTCTCTGTGAAATATAATAAGGGACTGGTAACACCCACTTATATGGGGGGAAGGAAAAAAAACGTTAAATATTATAAGAAAGAGAATTCCTTGAGGCCACTGCCAAGAATTTAATTCCAGTCATATATCCATTATAATAATTTGAAACGTAATTGAAATATTTTTCAAACAATAACAGATAGCTACTTAAAATAAGAGAAAAAAAATAGATTGTCAAAATGTTTGCCTCTTAGCTAATTAATATTGCTAACAAAAAATATAGATTTTTAATGAGCGTCAAAGGAGAAAAACAATGTGGGAAATTTTACTTAGTTGTGCTTACAAATTCTTATTCCGTGAAAAAAAAAATTTTCATAACATTTAATTCACAGCATATATATTTTATTGTAAATCTATGCATAAGCACACAGAATCAAAACAAAATTTGGTAATCTTTAGGTTATCAAGGTTAAGTATTGAATTAATATACCTTTGTGAGTGGGAGATGAGTAGGAATGTGTAAGCCTTCTTTCTTAATCAGTTTCATTTCATCTTCAGTTAAATGTAAATCTGGAATCTAAAAAGTGGAAATCATATGATTCAACAGAAATTAAAATGTTTTAAAAAGGTCAAGAAACCATGCACATATTTAAATATATAAACTTTTCAATATTTTAAGATAAGCAAAGGATAAAATAGAAACAATTTTAGTGTTTATAAATTTATATTTTCAAAATTAAACCGTCCAATAATTATCAAAATCTGAATAATAATCTTTATTTAGTAAATTTGATTCACATTTATTAAATTCAGTGTAATGTAACAGAATACTTATTAGTTCTTCAATGACACAATATATTCATTTCAGAAGTTGTGCATATAAAGTTAAAAAAATTATATTAAAAATTTATAAGAATGTCATTATGAAAATGCATATTTCAAACAAAAATGCCAAACTTTATAAAACAATGATCAAAGCCTATAAACTCAGAAACATTAAGATTTTCCCTGTAAATATTGAAAGTTTTTAAGAAGCGCTAACTACAGAATAATCAATAGTTAAAATATTTGTAGACAATAATCCCATTAACAAAAAATGATACTTTTGTTTCAACACAGATTATAAAATTGTCATTTGCATATTTGAAGTAAAATTTCACTTTGAATTTCATTGAAAATAAAAATTATTATAGTAATTGTTAAAAATATTATTAAATAACAGTACAAAAAACAGTTATTTAATTAGTAAATTCTTATAAACTTACTGTGCTGAAAAGACTTAAGTCATCATCATCTTCACACTTTCGCTTCCTTCCAGATTTCTAAAGAAAAAAAAATCATGAACATATCAAGAATTGCAATAAGAAAATAATGATTTCATAACAGATTCCATAATTTAATGTTATGGATAAAGTACAATAGAACCCAATTTATCAGAACCATTGCCTATTTTGACTGCAGGACATCCATAATATTTGAAATCCTAACTCAAGGTGTTCTGCACATAGAAAGTGGTAATCCATTTCAATCATCTTAAATTATCATGCACACAAAAAACCTCACATCATTTTCTACTAACAAATAGTCCAGCAAATAGAAAAAGAGTTTATTTTTACGCTCTTATTAGCCTACCTATCTAGAATCGGAGAGGTGAAAATCATCCCAATACAATTTACTGATAATGGGAAATGGAATTAGAACATAATTGTTTAAAAAAATGTCAATATTTGGAAGCAGAAAAAAAATGAAAATGTTAAAACCGGCAGTGGGTTTAGTTAAAAGAGGCTTTCTAAGGCTGCAAAATTTCTGTGATGTTGGCAGTGTAGCGAAGCCCTTTTCATCACCTGGAAAATGTTTTTAAAAGGATTACCTACTCTCCTGAACTAGCCAGGGGGACAGAGAAATCGTTAGCATTTGGAAGGCTATAACTAAATTNAACATAATTGTTTAAAAAAAATGTCAATATTTGGGCCCTTTTCATCACCTGGAAAATGTTTTTAAAAGGATTACCTACTCTCCTGAACTAGCCAGGGGGACAGAGAAATCGTTAGCATTTGGAAGGCTATAACTAAATTATTAAGCTAGATAAATTAAAAATTAAATGGCCCAATTAAAAATGGACCTTGGTGATTTTTGCCTAGTGTATTGAAATAGATATATATATATATATACACTCACACTTCGGACTTCCATTTAATGAGCTTCCCTTTCACGAATTTCTCTATTTTGCAATTTTGTAAGAGGATCCAAGAATTGTTTAGAAATTTATTCATAAAATAACCTCCAAATAACAATTTTCTATTTAATTTCCAAATTTTCTATTTAATGAACTTTTCTTTGAGATTCGCTTTCCCTATTTCCCAAAATATTTCAGAGCATTTAAAACTTAAAGCATTTAATGGGAGCAATGATCTTGAATTGATTTTTGAAGGTACTTAACTTTTAGAGAAAGCAGTATCTATTTCCCTTTTTGCTTGCATTTCAAACGAAAAACTCAGACAAAATTATTGGATTTTATCAGTAGCAATTAAACTTAAGAACGCATGGTAATGTATGATAAAATTACTTTTATAACAAATGCAGCTAAAATTTTATACATAAATTTAGCTTTTTTTAGTTGAAAATGTATGTAGCATAATAGTGTAACACTGGATAATGTTTTGCTCTATTCTTGCTTTCCATGCAGATTTCTTTTATGGTTAAGATTTATAAATAAATAGTAGATACTAAATTACAAGATAAAGATGCATCAATTGCTATTTTAATTATGTCTAGTGTTTAAGAATTTAAAACCTGTTTAAATATTTCAAAAGGTGATTTTCTATTTAACGAACTTATTATCAGGATTTAAATAATTCATTAAAAAAGAGGTCCGATTTTATATATATATATTCCAGTTTTCATTTCAAAGATCAAACAACTTAAACATTTTCTTAGTTAGAATTATTTTAAAATTTATTTTCAAATTTTGAATAATTTTATCAATAATAATATCAGGTATAAAGTCTATAGAAATAAACATTTTGGGTTAAAGAGCCAACTTTAATAAACATACAAACATGTTAAAAGATATCTTAGTTTCTAATTTTGATTTCTGGAACTAAAATTGCAAAAACCATATTCTTCAGAAGCTTAGCTTAGGTTTAAGGTTTCTACATCTATAAAATTAAAATAGAAAAGAAAACTTTATAATACCAAGAAGAAAAAAAATTTTTAAAAAATGAAATTTTTACAATTATTGCAAAATTTTTTATAAGATATCACTGAGAGTTATGAGAATTTTAGAAATGTGGGGCCACCTGCAATTGCTCTGCTTACCCCACCCTTATGACAGCTTTCTCCAGAGGAGTAGACTTCCTAAAGATTTATGACACTCTAATACACTTTAAAGCATAGATCAATAATTTCTCAGATGATTAGTAAGTTGTCTGTGGTTTAGACACATGTCAGGTAGCACAGATGACCAAAAACTGCAAACTTAAAAAGAACTTGCTGAAACCAACTTAACAATAGGTGATTTTTGATTATTTTAATGTCTCCTTTGCTCTTCCTTACTTTATCAGTGATTGGTCGGAGTTTTCAAACATATTTCCCCCCCTTTCCCTTTTAAATATCAATTTAGGAGTCCTAGAGTTCATAGTCTTATGGCTACATTTTTCTAAGAATTCTAGAAAATGTGTATTAAATGTAGACATCAGAAAACATACTTTATAAGGGACCAAAATAATTTGTCTTACAAGCCCCAGATTGAATTTTAAACATTTTGTCGCAAAGTGAAGCATGATATTAATTTTCTCAACTATAATATTCACCATTTGATAGCAACTAGAACTAGACACCAGTGTGTTTCGATACAATTAAGTGATGTATATTTATGAGGTTAAAGCATTACTCGCAAAAGTAAAAAAATTTTAACACTAGCTTATTGATTTTATTAAAGAGTCTTATGCATTTGATATGGATTACAAATAACTCACATTTAGAAATGCTTTTTTAACAAATACTATTACCTTACTTTAACAGCTTCTTTAAATACCAAATCAGGGTTACCTTATTTTAACTACAGCTTTTTCAATACCAAACGTTAGATGGATTATCAGGTTTCTACTACACTTTTATAACACAATAAAATTAATATCTATAATTACCGTGGATGATTTTGTGATTTGTGGCAAAGGCAGTGTGATTATGGTTGAATGATTAGAATCATCTAACTGAGAATGTTCAGATGTTTCTACAATTACATCAGCCCCTAAAACAAAACAATGAATGATTTAAATTTCTTGAAAAATATAGTTAAATACATAAACATTTTAAAATAAAAAATAAGGTCACACTAATGAAGGTGTCCTTCCTAAATTTATATTTAAAAGAGATTAAAATATAACTTTCTCACATGAAAAGTACTGGGTATTTGACTATATTTTTTTATCTTAATTTTTGAAAACAGATATTTTCATAAGGATGATAAAGTAAAACTCTAGAAACTCTTATCAGCTTTGCTTGATAAAAAAAGCATAAATCACTGATGTGTAAAATAGTGAAATTAAACATTGAATCTTTCAAATTAATCACAGTATATTAGCACTAAAAAAGTAGTTTGCCTTGGAATTATATTTAATACAGGGTTCCTACTCAATTTTCAAAAAACATTCAACAGATTTCATTACATTAAAGCATATATTAAGTTGATCAATTTTAAATTTAATACTTGTGATACTTTTTTAATATGTGTAGCCCACTGCTACTAATGGTTTGATAGTTACATTGCAGTTTAAATCAGTTTGAAGATTAACAAAAATTTCCAATTGACATTAGCATAATTGCCAACTTTTAAAGATTGGCACCAGTAAAACTTTTCATGAAAAATTTTATGAAGCATATTAGGACTAATTGAAAAATAATATTTAGCATATCTGTTTCAATCTTAAAAACACAATATATTTTTATGACCTCAGAATATTAGTAATGTATTTCGGACATAAACTCTTTTAGAGTATAATCTTTTGACAAATAAACTAAAATTTACCAAACTTTCTTCACTATGCTTAATTTTTAAATCACATGTATACAAATCGTGATAAAGAAAACATAAATCAAATTACATGAAAGATAAAGCAAGCCTTGAAGATTGCATAAATTACATATCACAACGTATGCTTTGCAAATTGAAATGCAACATAGGTTGAAATAATATGAATAGCAAATGATACAGTTGGAAACATACTCAAAGTAACAAGTCATCAATCCTGATGAAAGATACATAAATCACTTTAATGTGAATTGCATTGAATAATTCTTTGAATACTTTAATTTCTCAATTCGTGGTTTGATTATCATTTGTATGAAAAAATAGATGAATAATCTGGTAATCATTGCAATGCAAAATGAGATTCATGATTCAATAAGTAACTAAAATCAGAATTGCTAAATGTTATTTATAAATCGTTTTCACAAGAATTTCAAACAGTAATCCTTAAATCCTTCTTACATAAATATTAAAGCGTGATTCATAAATCACTTAAATGATAATTGCGATGCATGATTCAGAAAAGTATCATTCTGCATGATTCATAAAGCATGCAAACCCAGATGAGTGATTCACAAATATCTTTAATGAGATCTTTGACACACTGATTCATAGATCACTTATAATCATGGAGCTTTTCAAAAGTTGCTTCAGCACAAATTTCTTTACCATTTTATATTTTATTGCATTATAAATTGCATATGTTAGAAATCACCAGATTTTCAGTATTATAAAAGGAAAAAATATCAGAATTTCGGCAAACTCTTCTTAGATTCTCTACAATTTGGAATAAAACTTTAATTTTCTCACATTAGCAAATTTTTAAAAAAAAGTTTAAAAGACCACACATTACAAATTTAGTGCATGGCATACAACACATGGCTAAAACAATGCTAATACTAGACATGGTTTCGTTAAATTTTTTCTTTTCACTGTTGGTTTTCCAGACCCTACTTGTATTTTGTGATCCAATCATAGGCGAAGGGTAAATAAGAGTAAGGGAATTTTTCTAAATTTAGATAAGATTTTGAGACTCCTACTTAGATGACTTTGAACTATCATCCTTCATTAAAAAAATCCGCAAAAGGAGATGGAGTGATTAAAATTTTTATCATTTTGTTTGAATTTTCTCTTTTTATTCTTTTCTGTAGGAAAGATTATTATTGCCGTTTCGAAAATTACCCTGAGAAAATTAAAAACTTTTGAAGCACTCTATCACAGAAATAGACTTTTTTGGGGCTATGATTTTTTTAAACAAAATTCGAGGACTTTCAAGTACCCTGGAAACCCTATAATAATTATTAAAATCGCGATCATGAAATTTGCAATCATCAAAAAAAATGAGATTCAATTATCATGAAAAAAAATATACCAACATCACTTAATCCGTATCAGCTATGTAGAATTATAAACAAATTATTGCATAATATGCTTAATAGAAAATGATCCTTTCAGAATTATATAGTTTAACTTATATAACATAGTTAAAGGAGATTGCCTCGTACAAGATAGATCACAACATTTTCAAAATCCTTATTTTAAAGCGATCTAAAAAGTATTTTTGTTATGATTTTGAAACATCTTATAACCTTCATAATTACAAGTAATAAACTTAAAAAAGAGAAAAATTTGCGCACTTAATTTGAACTAATATTTCTCTAATTTACAGTAAGATTTAAAATCAATAAAAATGCGTTAAAATTTATACTAATTAAATTTCTTTCAAATCACGATAGAATAATATATGCATACAAATATGAAAAAAAGTAGAATTTGTTAATACTAAAAGCCGAAAGTGGTTCGAAAATATTGTCTAAATAATTTACTGGTCTATTTATAATTTTTTAAAAAAATGAAGAGATACCTAAAAATTCAACAGAATAAATTAACCAACCTTCCTCAATTCAATTTTTAAAAATCAGGTTTAAAAGGAGTATTTAAATATCTGTACAACACTTTTAATTTAAATAAAAGTACCCCGTATCAGATATTACTTAACAATTTACTCGCTTGTAGCAAGCTGATTGTCCTGTTTAAAACTTTGCTTTTAATTTTGAAAATAAAAATCTCCAAAAATTCCAAGTTGAAAACAATTTTAAAATCTATAAACTATATATTGAAGTATACATTTCTTAAATTGAGAAACACAGTAACAATCACGAGACATCAAATATATGTATATATTCACGTTATTTTAGTGCCTGCAATACTAAATATTGCATTTGTCAAGATAGGTAAAATCAGATTTTTGAAAACATGAGAAGCATATCAAACATTGTTAAAAAAAATCCTTTATAATTTAATCCTTTATAATTTAAGAATTAATATTTTAGAATAATATTTACAAACAGTACAAAGTTCATGCTCTGTTAATTAGGATGTTTTTTATTTTATTCTTTAATAAAGAAAACAATTATTTACATTCATACTTTAAAAATGTGACTTCATGTTAGACGTTTAATACCTGAAGACCTCTGCATCAAAAATTTTATGAGTAAAAATGAATTATTAATTTAATAAATATCAATTAAAATAAGCTATAAATGTCCCCGGTAGCAGAATTTACAGATTGAATCTGCAGCGCTATCTTCATAAATCCAAATGTGACCGAGTGCAACCTCAATGTGGTCACAGAGATTACTGTATAAGTTCTGCTTAATCTAACAGGGGTGATTAAGCAGAACTTATACAGTAAGCCCAAGTCAAAATTCCGGAAAATTTCCTGCTTAAAAAAAAAAAAAAAAAAATTTAAATTGAAACAAATTTAAACAAGGTTTGTTTTCCTTTTTCTCAATATTTCTTAGTTCACTTAAAATATATTTAAAATTACACATATCTATGAGGACCAGGAGAAGTAATTAAAATTAACAAATATGTTTTTCTTTCCTGAGTTTATGATTATAATAACTAGTTACTGATAAAAAATGAATATTAGTCATGAATATAAGCTTATTAAGTATCTCTCTGGCTCTCCCTTACAAACAAATAAAATAAACTGCGTTTTTAAGTTCCATTTTTGAAAATTTGATTTCCAGAAACTTCTGTAATCAATGATTTTTTTTTAAACGTCTGGACCTTCGATCTCCGGAAACTTCCAGATCATTATTAGCGAAAAATCCGGAGTTTTTCTGGAGCACAATCAGCCCTGATCTAACAAACATGTAGCTAAATTTGCAAATATAAGTTCCTTCATATAAACTTTATGTTGTTTAAATTTAATTTGAATTTTATACAATGATACTATAAAAATTTATCAAATTTCAGTACAGTTAAATCTGTAATCAAGTAACAGAAAAAAATTCCTTATTTTCTGTCCTTTGTGAAATTCTCTCAATTCAGCTTTTAAATTTTTATTAGAAACAGAGATATTTTAGAAAAACTAACTAACTTCCTGGCATTACAGTCCATGTTGGACCATGGTCTCACTAACAATTTTCCTCTATATTTTAGAAAGGTGCATCAAAATTTTCTCCCATCTATTTGATTTTTAAATATAAAAATTTAGATAAAAAATCAACAGCACAAGCTGCTGTGCAGAAGAGTTTCGACTTTTCTCAATTGTCAAATTTATATTCATAACTTTAAACTAGCAATAATCAACAGTATTAATAATTTATAAATATGTATTTATATTAAATATTTTGGTAAAAAATTACTGGCAGGAAAAGTTATTCTTTTAAAAAACTAAAGTTATACATAAAGGGAGTGGCAACATTTTACTAAAAATGTGTTTTAAAGAAATGTTTCAAAAATTTTTAAAATACCAGCTTGTAAGATAATTTTTTTTAAAAATTAATCTTTAGAAATCACAAGTTATTTTTATGATAAAAAGTATTTCAAATAAGCAGTAACTGATTCTAAGCAAATGGTACTTTTACACTGGCGATGACAGCAATAATTTTTTTTTTAATATAGAGATTACTGTAAAGATTTTAAGTAATCCTACATTATATTCACATTTAACATAAAAGATTTTCACAGTGAACTCAGTTCAAAAGCTGAACATTCCTTCACTTTATTTTACAAAAAAGTATTGACCGCACCAGAATACAGCTCTTTTGCAATAAGGCAGACAGAGAGCACTTGCATATTCTATCTTTTCTTGTAAGTTCTAAAAACACAAAGACTAACTCTGAATTCCGAATCTGAGAAAACACATACTTTAAAATAGACATATTTTTCATATGCAACACACACTAACAATACCCAGTAGAATAAAAAATCAAAAGCAGTTTTCTTTGCAAAGATCTAAATCAACGAAAATCAGGGATAAACAAATTCTCTGAATTGAAAAGAGTGAAATTACATGGATAAAAACAAGTATATGGGGTAAATAACAATAATTTGCTGAAAAAATAGGAATTATATGAATATATATTGTGATTATGCAACAAAATGTAAATTAAGCAGCTTTCCAAAACTTCCGCATTATTGCACAATTTGTAAGGTTCTAAAAATATATATCCATTCCATTTGGTCCGCTAGCAGTGAATATAATGCCAAAGCATTATGTAAAAAGATTAATAAATGTATATTTTGTCAGATTAATTTTTTGCATTGTATACAATGCCCAAATTTATATATACATAGCACACATTGCACATCATACAAGCATTGTATACATTGTATGAAAAATAAGAATTATTAATTTGGCAATCATGCGGACAATTGTAAATTAATTGGTTTTCCAAAACTCCTGCACAATTCGTAAGATCCTAAAAAACAACATACATTGCCAGATTGTCTATTAGCAGTGATTACAATGCATAGGCAATATGTAAATTGTTTAATAATTGCCAGATCGATTTTAAGCATTGTATACAACGCCAGATTTTCAACTTTGCTTTTAACATAAAGCAAAAGATCAGAAAATGATATAAAAATCATAGATCTGAGGAAGAATCTCATGCTTGAAATACTGATAAATAATTACCAATCTCAATAGCTGTTTGGTGAGAGCCTGATATACTATTGTCACAATATACTTGAGGCACAGAGTACAGATCATGATCAGACTGTTTTTTAAAGTTTGAAATGAACGGCTCCATTAGAATCGAAGATTCCATGTTATCACTTCCCGAGGAGACACTTTGGGGTGATGCACTATCACTGAAGCGAGAAGTGGAGTCAGTGTCACGATTTTCACTAGAACTGGGAATTTCAGTAACAGGGAACTTTTCTCTTTCAATGTCTTTCAGGAATGAATTCCAAAAGTCAGGAGTATTATCATTTCCATAACACTAAAAAAATTAACGAAACATTAAAAAAAACTGACATTGTGGATAAACATGTCAGGATATACATAAATTAAAGTAACAAATTTAGTTGCACACAATTTAAAAATATACAATATAATAAATACATGATATATAGAGATAATTTATTGCTAGCATTTCAAATTAGTTGTTTGAAGGCACTGTTCAGAAGACTGAAGCGAGAAAATACCAATTTTGCAAATAATATTTTTTATAAAGAATAGCCAATAATCAATATAAAGCCTATAAATGATTATAAAATCAAACTGCAGCATTCTCAGATTATATTTCTTAGCCTTATTTTTTAATTTATATCCAAAATTATAAAATGAATGCAACAGCATTATACCTGTTTTAATCTAATTATCTCAACTCAGGCTTCCGAAAAAAATATATTTGCAAATGATTGATTTAACAAAACTAAAACCAGTAGTCTCATGTCAACTTAATAATTTTAATAAGCAGTTTAGCTTCAGATAAGACATGCATGATTTTTTAATAACTAATTAGCAATGTTAAACTTTTTAAAGAATAAAAAAACATAGGTACCTATTTTAAACTTATTTATCAATGAAGACTATATAAGTTAAGAAAAAGAGAATAGAAGTTAATAATCAGACAAATGCTTTTTGCAATAATTTTTAAGGGATAGAGTAAGGCAGAGGTATGTGATTACCCATGGTAAGCTTTTATTAGATGCCCCTGAAAAGAAGTGCACAAAGATAATGTAAGCAGATATTATTCCATGGTATAAATCTCGCTAATTTTTTTTTTTAATTATATTTTTCATAAAATATTTTTCTTAAATCATAATATTTTCATAAAATATATTATTTACCAATCGAAAAAAAAGTAATTTTATAAAAATAATAATTGATAATAATATAATCGAAGTTTTAGTGTTCTTTGCATAGCTGCCAACAAGAATAGGGGAAAATCCAGTAGATTCTACAAAATAAATTTCATGATAATTGTTGCAAAAGGTACAAAATATTTTACACATGAGGAATTTTAATAGTCATCAAAATAGGAAAAACTGCAATATTTTCCAGTTATGATTGATATTAAACATACTCGAAATATTGTGTATACTCATAATTTCGAATATTAATGGGCATTTAGTTCATCAAAGATAGTTAATAATTTAAAAAGAGATACTAAGATATTAATTTAAAAAAAAGACAATTTAAAAAGAGAGTTCGGAATAAAAATAAACTGAACATTTTAGAACAAACAAAAAAAAGAAGTTTTTAACTGATTTCTATAAATGAGGTTTGCTTCACTGCATATTAGTAATACTTATTTAAATATTCTAGCAAGCAATGATCTGTACAAAAATTCTATTTCAATAGGGATTTCTCCATGAAACTTAATTAATTTTAGGGAATTTTTAAAAATGTACCAGGAGAATTTTTATTAAACCAGTAGATCAGAAGAAACTAGCAAAATCCAGTAGAGTTGGCAGCTATGTCTGATCAGATGCCCAGAGCTCTTACCATTATAGCTATGATATCTTCATTTTTCATGTGATATTAACTTACCTGAGGAAAAGTATCTAACTGTCCAATGTCAGTTATCAATCCCTCATCCATTAAACTATTGAAATCCTTCATAAGAGGATCCTCCAGAAGGATATCTAAAATTTCATCTCCATTCATCATCGCAGAGTTATTAGTTTCATCCCTGAAATTTTTAGGGATTTAGAGAAATATATACAAATAACTAAGATCTATAACATTTGCATTTTTATAGACCCGAGGGAATTTTTGATTTTTTGGAATAAAAGCTCATTTTCATAACTTTCTTGTATTTTAACTCCTTTAGACCATTCTAGTCACAAATAACTTAAACAGCTTCATTTGATTTACAGCCTGCTACAAAGTACAGTATATTTAAAAAATGCTAATCTAGATCATCAAGGTCTAGTTTGCCAATCTATGACATCGAAATAGATTTTCTTTCTGCTTTATACTACTAAAATTATTTTTAAATTTTACATTAACTTCAAAATTTAATCAATATTTCATACCTTTTTCTCTTAGATGTTTTAATGCAATTGTGTGTTACATGAACCACATTACATATTTTATAAAATGCCATGAGAAACTGTGGCACAAGAAAAATTTAGATCTAGTGCAAAGTTAAACTTTTTCTTCATTTTTAAATTATAGGTGTTTAAAAAATATAAAAATAAGAATTTTGTGAATATGTAATAACTAAAAAAACAATCTCAGGGTGTGTAGCTAAATCTTTCAACAAAAAATAAGCACCTTTCAAGCACTCTAAAAATATTTTTAAGCACTATATACATTAACAAAATGCAAAATAACTTTCAAAGACTGACAAAAAGAACTCTTTTCTTGATTATATTAGCCACCATAAAAAGATACTTTTCTGTTTGATTTCAGAGGGTGGAAACTGAAGCCTGAAATTGAGAATATCTTGCAAAACGCAGAGATGCAAAGTAGAGTGCTAGAATTTCATCGAACTCAGCTCAGTTGACGCACATGCGGATTCGCAAGTATTTCATCAAACATGTAAAATGATTGGCACTTTGATACTCTATGGACCGACGGAGGGCGAAATGGATTGTGGCTGAATGAATTGTGAAACGTTGAATAGAACAACGCGAAAACCATGCTTTTGCACGTTGGCGAAAATCGACAAGGTAAAGAAAAAAATCTAGTTTTCGAAAAGGGAAAATTAAGCACTTTTTAAAAATACCCAATGAAAAAAGCACCTTTAAAAAACTAAACGGCTTTTAAAAAACGAAAATAAGCAGCTTTAAGCACTTTTTAATAACGCTATGCACCATGAATCTGTTTAAAAACTCTGTGTTTTTGATAAAATTTGCTACTTCCATGTATTAGCCAAAAATAAACTTTTGCTGGTTGATTTGATGTGTAATCACTCTTATATAACTATTTCTTTGTAGATTATTTTGACCAACCAAGCGCCAAGCCTGCAACTGGACATACAACATCTATAGATAAACCCCAATGTCTCATTTAAAAGCCAGATTTCTTTATCTTTTGTTCAAACTTCTTAGACATTTCCTTACAGTTAAATATATTTAGTAGATCATTTAAGATATATGAAAGACGCAATATTGTTTCTCAAAGAAGCTGCAGTAATTTCCTGTGTGTTACATCATGTTGTGAGTGATGATTATCATATAGTCACAACATTGCACCATTGAATTATAATTTAATTTAAAGTTTACGGAATTTTCTAAATGGTAAAAGTTTCAGTAATAACGATGACCTCAAATCACACTTGTTTGAGCTTTCTGCTGATAGACTCCAGAATTTCAATGAATGCCGGATGATGAAGTTACCAGAAATGTGGGAAAAGGTCATCGACCAGAATGGAAGACTTTGAACTAATTAAAGTTCTTTTTTTGTACAGAAATAATAAATTTTATTTCACGCTAAGAAAAAAAAATCACTTTTTATCCACACAATCCATAAAAAAAATGCAAAAAATAAAGTCTTTTTTTAAAATAGGGATTTTACTTTTCTAACTTTATTTAATTCTAATTAAATTTGATTCTATCAAAATAAAACTGAAAACTTAATTACCTGCATAAAATAGATTCCATGATAGCTAAGAGTAGGCAGTATTCTCACTTAACAACTGCTAAAAAAGATTTAAAAAGCAATATATATATATATATAGCTATATACATTTATTTATAATATTGCAATATCAATAGTAAAAACTAGATGAACAACTTTAAGATATGGTTTATGCATAGAAATTAAAAGAAATTGGTTCAATTTTACTTCAAAGTTAATTTGAAAGTAACACCTCATGCAACAAATTAATAAATGTTTTTTTTTTTTTTGGAAATAGCCGCAGTAAAGAAAAAAACATTATTATAATGTGCGACAATCTGAATTAAAATGGATTAACAGCATTTCAATCAACTTTAATGAATTTTTAGGTATGAGAAATCATTATAAAATTACCAAGATCTCATTATAGATAATTCTAATAAAGACTTGTAATTCAATAAATTTGAAAAAAATAAAAAAATATATAATTAGACATCATTAGGCTAAGTGCGATTTCATTTGCACTTTGAATACTGCATATGAAAAAAATAATGAGTCATAAAAGACAGACACTAAACATAATATATTCTGGGAAACATATAAGGTCGAAGCTCTCTTATGGAGAACTAATACAGTTCTTAATAATAGCCAATAAAGCTAAAAATTGTGAATTCATTTGAAAAGAACTATCTGAATTCTATTATGGAAACTATAATTTATTCAAAGCAAACCCATGTTTAATTTTAAATAATTGAAAATCTTTTACTAATAAAATATTTTTATCATTGAAAACAGCAGCATATTTAGTATCAGCCAGTATTGGTATGTATATTTTATTAAAGGGTAGAAAACGCTAATAATTCTTAAAAATACAAAATGTAACTTTATAAATACAGTCATTTAATTTTTACAATCATGTTATGTATACAGAACATCATCAAAAACATTCACAACACCAACCTATTACTGGAAACACTTTCAACTGGGAGGGCAACATTTTAGCAATGCAATAATAAGGTGTTCAAAATTTAAAAATTCCTTAGTCTTTTCGTTATAAAATATGCTTATAATGAATGATCGAAAAAGAGTACAATTAACAGACACAGTATAAATGATCTTAACCACGCCAAAATACAGTAGCATTAAGTACCATTTAATTACATGGTTGTTTATTTTGTTATTTCCTGAAAGTAGAGAAATAAACACAATTGTATAGCAACTGAAAGAGATCTTAACAGGTATTACGTGACAATAAAAAAAGAATTAAACGAAGAAATATTTAAGAAGGTTTTGTAAAATAAAAATATATACATCTAGATTTTTTTCTTTTTTTCGATTGAATGAGTTATTTTTAGATACGTGGTTCGAGTTATAACAAGATAACATATTGTGAGCAGATTTTAATGAAATTTTCAAAGTCTCGATAAAATTCATTTAAATTTCAATAATTTAATTACCTGCTTGTTAAAAATTAATAGCATATTTTGATAAAATTAACAATTTATAATCGAAATTACACAACACACCGGTCAACTGCTGATACAACAAGTGAGTCACACCATAAAGCTCCAACACAACAATTTTGACGTCATCGCAAAACACTGATGCCGCAAGATTTCATTGGATAAAAAACTTTTTGATTGCATCATTTAAAAATTTTGTAAAACTGAGAAAAAAAGGAAGAAACCAATATTTTTTTCCAATTTTTTAAATATTTTTACTATTACTATGAAAGAATACATAAGCAAATAGTACTTTTCAAAAAATTTTAAAATTACCACATGTATGAGTTAAACTGAAGAAAACTACGATAATAAACTGAAGTGAAATGAAATTCCAAAAAAAGCCTTTGTTTGTTTGTAAATAATAATCCTAATTTGACAGGATCCCCCTCATTTTCAATTTTTAAACTTAACTTTGCAGGGCCATTTATTCTGTTTGTTTATTGTATCAGCATGTAGAAGACCAGAATTTCTAACAGAAGAATTATTTATTTTTTGAAACATCTGATTTTTCAACTTACATAGAAAATCTGTAATACATGTCTCGCAAACTTATTTTCGATTTTTCAAAAATCTAACCTTTCGATCAATCGTGATCGAGGGTTAGAGTTATGCCCAAGATGACATTTTCTTGTTTTTAAATAATGACAATTTTATATACTTTTTTTGTTTCATAGTTTTCTAAATTTAGTTGATGGCTAGCCAATTATCTGGAATCGCTATAATTCTCTTTATTGCCTTTGGGAGCGTTGTAAGTTTCAAATTGTATACAATTTTATGTAAATTTTTATATTTTAGATACTTGAATCTTGAATTAATTTAACAGAATTTATCATAAATACAGTTGTAGACTGCAATACAAATCTAGTTATAAACATATAACAAATATCTTGTTAACACATAACGGAAGTCATTGTAGAATTTTCGTGAAAAGTCCTGTTTTTGTGAAAATTCTACTCATTTGGAGAAAATAGGATTCCACTTTTGCGATTTTATAAAAAATCACAAAATCTCAGGGTTTATCCAGGCTTGGGAAAGGTCCTGTTTTTGTGTATCTGTTAAAAATATCTCATTATTTTCAAGATCTTTAAATGTCCATGGAATTGGGTTCTTTCTCCAAAGTCCTGCTTTGTACATATATTAAAAATAGGATTCCACATTTGGGAAGAGACACAAAAACCATGTCTTACCTGAATTTGTAGTTTTAACATTATGATATAAAGATGCCATGCAATCCTTTTTTCAAAAAAAAATTTTTTTTATTAAAGGTCTACTTACTGTAATATTATATTTATATTGTACTACTATTTCTTACTATAAAATGCATATATATATATATATATACAGGGGCCTGTCAGGGCCGAATTTACTACCATTTAGCGGTACCTTCACAAATTGAACTTTAAGAAAAGCGGTAGCTTCTTAAAATTTTATTTTTGTATCCCGTCAGAAACAATAAATTCACATTTTTACCACATTTTTGTGTTAATTTTTTAACATAATTTTTAATTTTTACAAATTATGTCTAAAAGTTTCACAAAATAGGTATACCTCACAGAAAAACCTAGACAGACCCCTGATATATATATTATCGAATGCCCAGCTTGTGCGAATGGGCCATGCACTGTCTTACTATTCAATACAAAAGAAAGAAAAAAGTAGAAGTATCTTCAGTGTCAAAAATAATAATTTGTGAATAATGCAGCTTAATGTAAAATTGTTTTTGAAGTCTTCATTAGCAGACCCAAATTTCTGCTATATAGGTCCCTTTGTATAATTTGTACAACTTTTAAACTACTACTAACTCAACGAATGTCTTACCTATCTATTAATAATATGTTTTGTCTTTGTTAATTTAGGGGAGAACTGTTTTGCCATATTTTTCAAATACTGAGAAATCATTAATTTTATCATTTTTTAACACTTGTTATAACTTTTAACTGTATATTTATCCTATTGATGAGGAAGCAGTGTGACACCTTTAGATTATCTTGATAATGAGATTATCTTGAATAACAATTATTAAAAGTCTCAAAATTTTTCTTTGTTTAAAATGTTACTTCATTTTGAGTGTTGCTCTTTTAAAATGTTACTTTAAATTGTTGTCTTCATTCTGGACAGTTATATTGTTGTTCATCTTTGCAAAGAGACAGATAATGAGATCTGCTTTAGGAGATTATCTTGATAATGAGATTATCTTGAATAACAATTATTGAAAGTCTCAAAATTTTTCTTCTTTGTTTAAAATGTTACTTCATTTTGACTGTTGCTCTTTTAAAATGTTACTTTAAGTTGTTGTCTTCATTCTAGACAGTTATATTGTTGTTCATCTTTGCAAAGAGACAGATAATGAGATCTGCTTTATGAGATTATCTTGATAATGAGATTATCTTGATTAACAATTATTGAAAGTCTTAAAATTTTTCTTTGTTTAAAATGTTACTTCATTTTGACTGTTGCTCTTTTAAAATGTTACTTTAAGTTGTTGTCTTCATTCTAGACAGTTATATTGTTGTTCATTTTTGCAAAGAGACAGATAATGAGATTTGCTTTAAGATCAAGGCGTGGACCTCATGCATCTGTTGGATCAGGTGCTCCAAAGGTAATAGTTAAATAATTATAATAAATAACTGTTTTTCTAATCGCATGAAAAGTTTGATTTCTACGATTGAACAAATGAAAAAGGGACAGGCATTATAAATTAAGCTATAAATTAAGCGCTATAAATTAAGACACATTGCAATGAATTCAGACAATATAGCACTGTTCGAAAAGGAAGATAAGAGTACCATGTGTAATTTATTAGCCAGTTCACATGAGTGCATTTAAAATAAATATAAAATCGTGTCTAGAAGGATGCTCCCAGAAAAAAACCATAAAACCCTTTTATTCTTGAAGGTGGAAAGGGATAACATTTTTCCTTTGCATAAACAAAAAGCTGCGCATATGTCATTAGTCGCAACTCTACAATTACTAACTACTATTCACTTCATCCATAACATCAATTGCTTTATTAGAGATCACAGTGTTTTTTGACCTAGATCTTGAAAACATTTAAATAATTTGTTTTTGCTATCCAGTGTTTGCCGGCTATTCGACAATAAATGTCCACATTTAGCATTAAACTAATCTTTTGCCTCTAAAAATCGTTGCTGCCTTATTCAGCTCTAGCTGCATCCATCTTAACTTAAATTTATATGAACTTTCAATGCAAGCTGTTTAATTAGTTATTTGTAATCTGTAGTACACTTTTGTTATTTTAGTTTGTAACTTTAAAAGTTAGCTTTGTTGCTACTGTATTTCTGATGCTATCGGTGCATTCAGTTTTCATTTGATCAACAATTATACGTAAATCTATTTATTCATTTTTGTTTTATCTTTTGTTTTAGTCACTGTGCAGAGAAATTGATAGGCGACTTAATGCCATCGATCACATCAAAAGTGAGCCTTGGTTACTAAAAAGTACAAATAAGCAGTTGTTTGAAAGTGAAGATATTACACAATGTAAGTTGTTTTTCTTTTATAATTAGTAGAAATTGTCTCCTCTAATTTAATACAGTCTGTAAAATTATTTACCAAACAGGATTTATCACAAAACTCTAAATGTTAGAAGAATTTAAAAAATTTATTACAATTTCCTAATAGTTTGAGGCATTTCACAAAATTTTGAATCTTATAAAAATGCATCCCGAAATTCCAAACTCTAAGAATGAACTACTCACAAAATGTTGAATTTCTTATTTCTTTTTTATTTCTATTTAATTTTTAAAAAATATATATAATTCGTAATTTTAGAGCTAAATAAATGATGAAACTTAATCTGTTCATAGATTTTTTTAGATATATCTAAATAATAATCTAATAATTTTGATATATAAAATAATAATTTCATATACAACTATATTGTTTTACCTTAAAATAGACTAATAGTGTTACAATTAAATAATTATTTTTAATAGAATGCTGCAATCTCTTGTACTTGCCGCTTCTTGCCTATTAATCAATTGAGTGTTAAATGTTTTTTTGCATTTTGTTTCCTATGCAACTTACTAATTTTCTCCCTTCTTATTCAGTTGGGATGCATTTGATAGTAGAGTAATTTCCACAAAAACTCTCTCAACCAGGAAATGCTTGGTCATTTAAAATATCAACTGTTTGTTAGACAAGAAGTAAAATTCTAGCTGATTGGTTCATATGTCTGCTTTTGTGTCCAACTGACTGTTTGCATTGCCTAAGAACATTGCCTCTTTTTCTTATAATTTTTCCATTCATATATTTAATCCCCCTTCCTGTTATTTATTCCTGTAAAGAGATTTATTTCAAAAATTCTTTTTAATCAATTAAAAAATCATTGGTTTGTTTGGCAAGAGGTAAAATCTTGACTGACTCATCTGTTTGCATCTTGCCTATTAAAATGTCAAAATAAAAATTTTTAATTTTTTAGTGACACCTCATTTGTATCGGATGAAAGTTATTGATGATGTTAAAGAGTTATGTAAGTGTAATTTTTTTATGACAAAAATCTGGTTTGTGTTATGTATACATTTAGACTTTTTTTTTTTAAACAAATTTTTTTCCTCAATTTTTCTAATACTACCAATATATTTTTGTTTGTTCAAATTAATTTTACTTTATGACTGATTTGTTTGTAATGATGATTTCTATACTAAAAGCGGCTTGCCCGAACATTTTCGGGTTCACGTTCTGTCTCTGGAGCAGTGAACCCTAGTTTTTCTCAACCAGAATATTTCCTTCCCCCTCATTCCCTACTGCTCCCAAATTGAGAGGCGTATAAGCTGTCATCGTAAATCACTCACTGTGCTAGAATATTTCTGTTCAAATAGATGTAAATAGTTTGAGTTTTTTTTTTTTTTTTATATATATGTTTGAGCCCCCACTCAAACCAAAAGTTTACCTTTAATAAACAGATTATTTTTATTCTCTCCCACATCTTCGATATATTGAATTTTAACTTATAATGCTACGTCTTTGAATAATTTAAATCGTTTTGTACTTTTAAATTTCAAATAATTTTAGAAAAAGCAATTTCATTTAAGTGTGAATTGCAGTAAAGTATTTCTTGCCTAAATACTAATGTAATATTTAATGAACTAATTTATGAATTTTTAATATTACTAATTTTCTATATTATTTAACTAATTTATTAAATTAGTTAATTGTTGTTGTTGTTTTAAATAAAAGAAGATTATTTTGCCTACAAAAAAAATGTAAATTTTTTTTCTTCTGGATATTGAAGTTAACTCTAAAATCACTCTCTCCTCTTTCTGTAATGACTTTCTTGGCGTTTATCTAAAACTCCCATCACTCAAAGCACTAGTTTTATTTGTACTGTAGTTTAACGATTCTTTGTCTTATAATTTTATAATCTTTCTTCAAATAAAGCACAGAAAATAGAAGACAGGAAATCCAGAAATAATTTTCTAATTACTGATCTCTTTTTTTTTTGTGGCCAGTGAAAGAAATTTTATGAGTCAATTTTTTTTAGTTCCAAATTTCAGAATTAAAAAGTAACATAAACTTAAACAACTCTTAATTGCATGTTTTTTATAAAAAGTATAAAATTATATAAAAATGGAATATGAGGATATATATACATTTGAGGCTTTTGCAAAATATTTGAATTGTCCAGTATTAATTAACTAATGCAGAAGTTTTTTGAACAAAAGATTTTTTATAAAACTTAAAAAGATCTCTGAAAATGCCTGTTTATTTGGCCTTTAATATATCTGTTTAAATTATTTATTGTAGTGGACAAAATTCTTTTAATTTTAGTTTTGTAAAATAACAATTCACTGCTTTTGATGCCACTTGGGAGACTATTTTTCAAAAAAAAAATAGGAAATTCTTTAGCAGTTGAAGGGTATGTAAATATAATGTAGATTATTAAAAAAGAATTGCATTTGTTACATATGATTTATGTTTGTATAATTTCTGTGCATTTATAAAATAGAATTATATACATCAAGAACTTATTTAAATTTTTGGATAAACTTTGCTCTTTCTTTGAAATCTGATAGTAAATATTTTTTTTAATTTTCTGTATCTTGTTTATCTATGCATTAAAAATTACATCTTTTGCAAATGGTATATCTTTTAATGTTTTCTAGTTTAAACCCAAAAATTTATATCTTAAGTTACAGAAAATGCAAATACCTATACTATTTTATTTTAGTTTTTATAAACTTTTTTTTTTGTCTGTTGGGTAAATTCATCAATTTTTTCAACTATTTAGTGTGCAAAGTTTCTAGGCATTTTTAATGTACACTATGCTCACTATATCTCAAACTTCTATAACTCGAAAACCTTTTTATGTCAAAGAAATATTTTCCCCCTTAGCATTATCTATCCACCTTATGTTAATTTGAATTCCTATGTCGAAGAGTTTCTTCGCAAAACCTTGTTGTGTCAAATTTTTTTCGAAATAAAAAAGCAATTTTTCTGGAAAAATCCCAATGTAAGTTTATTATAAACCAATTCTTTTCTATTTAGTGTATAATTATTTTTGTCTTACCTTCAAAAATGAAATTGTCATTTTTGTATATAGACTTATAGTCAACTATCTATACATACATATTTATTGAAAGTTATTCTTATGTTTCGTGACTTTTTAGAGCAAGTCTTTAGAATATATTTTTCTACTTTTCAGAACTTATTAATTCTAAACTTGTTATCTCGAAAACTTGCTATTTCGAAATGTTTTTAGCTTCTTTGGGAGATATCGAGAGTACACTGTAATTTCTCTTTTTTCAGGTCGCTTAATAAAGAAAGAAAATATTGCCAAATCCCGCCATATCCAGGAAGATGTACTTCATTATTTTGTAAGACTTCATAGAAATAATGTGTTCCTTAATATAAATATACAAGTTTTGTACAAATTTTTATCTCTCTATGAGCATGCCAGATATCAAGATGAGGTTAGTATTTTATTTATTTTATTAATTTTTGTTTGTCTATTTTACTGTGTATGACTGTGAGCTGGTTAGATTGTCGATTAGCATGCATTTGTGGGATTCTAATTAAGCACTTTTGTAGAAAATAGGGTGCATAACATTTTTAAAAAGTGTTTATTTTTGATTTACATTTTTTAAAAGCCGTGAAAGGTATTTTTTTTTTTCGAGGTTTGTAAAAAGTGCTTCATTTTCTATCTTTCAAAAAGAGATTTTTTTTTGCTGCTTCGATTGTCATTCTAAATTTCTAAAAATGCATAATTTTCTCTGCAATATTCATCAGAAACTAGTTATTTTATCATGATTTGAATTTTATTGATTTTATGGTTGAAAATTAGGAACTTTAAATGATAGAAAAAAATTATTTTTATTACTGCACAGATCCTAAATACGATTTTTTTTTTTTTTTTTTGCTAAGTGATTAAAAATATATCTTGAGTGCTTAAAGGGTGCTTATTTTTTGTTGAAAAATCTGGCTAAGCACCCTGAGAAAAATGTATCAAATAATAATTTGTGGACTTTGACAAAATCAACTTTGGAAACCAAAAAAATTATAATTTGATCTGCTATTAATAAATTCTTTAATGATATTTCATATTTTCATCTGGAAATTTGTTGAGTCTGATGTCTATTTTAATAAGAGATTTTGCAATTCCCATTCTTTTCTTTATGTATGTATTAGTAACTTCTGTTATTACCCTTCTAAAAATTTCTCATTATGCTGAGTGGACTTATTCATTTATTAAGTGATACTTTAAAATCATCCCAAATTGTGGATTTTTAAATTACCTATTTTTAATGAGTGTCACTGTAAGTGATTTGGATCATAAGTGATTCCTTTTTAAAAATGAAATAATTATTTTTTACATGTTCACACAATTTAATTATAGTTAAAAAACAATGCAATTACTTAGCATATTTATAGTTACGGAATGCTGTTTACAGAAGTACCCGTGACAGGATTCAGCCGCTATGCACCGGTACAGGCTTACCAGTTCTTTGAAGTGAAACATTCATCAAAATTTTTAATTTTTTGTATTTAAGTCTTTGGAATTAGTTTTCAAAAATCATTAATTGAAGTTTTTAGGAAAAGGAAAATACATTTTTTATATTTCAATTAGGGAAAAAATTTCCAAGCATACAAACCGATTCTTGAATTATTTGAAACCAATATTCCTTTTTTCCTAAAAATCAGGAATTTTTAGTCTTGATTTATTTTAATCTCATTACTGAGAAATTTATTTCCTTTATAGTTCATTTTTCATAGATTATTTTTTTTGGATCAATTTTTTAATTTTTTCTGTTATTTTAATGAATTTCTAATGATTTTTTTTTTTTTCATTTTAAGCTCATTTTGCTTGTGTATTAATTTTTTTTGTATATGAACTTTGAATACTGTCTTTTTTTTTAATAAGTGTTGATGATGAACAGAGTTTTTCATGATTAAAGAATTTACATTTAAACAATATGCAATTTGAAGAAAATAGAAAAGCATTTGAAAATACAATGCAATTCTAATATTCTTGAAAATTGTTAACTAAATATTGTTAAATTCCTATTTTTATTTATCAGGCATTTATGAATTTTTTTTTCATTCATTAATTATTTTAATTTTAATTATTTTATTTTTTATTAAATATTTTATTTAAGAAAAGCTATGATTTCAAAAACTTTAAGAGACATTAATTTTCCCTGATAATAAATATTTGCTGTTATGCATTATTTTAATTGGTTATCAAATTGTTATTCATATTAAGTTATTAAAATTCATTTATTATACCATACAGAACAGTAAACTTTGTTATTTATAATTTATGTTCATTCAATGTTTCTAAACTCATTACTTTTTAAATTTTTGATTGCAATATTCCATCATTATTTTTTAGGTTTTTTCATATCAAGAATATTGCCAGTTTACTGAACTTTTGAACGAATTAAAGAAAAAGTAAGTGCAGTTACAATAGGAAATTTCAAATTTTTATTTATTTTATATTTTACAAGGTGTTAAAGATGTAAGAAAAATGTGTTAGCTATCCTTTATTTATATTAAAACTTACTGTTTCAAATAATCTTAAATGCAATAGTTGTTAAGTCTGCTCAGAATTATAAACAATATTTTTAAAATTCCTATATTTCTTATTCCTTAATAATATTTCTTATATTTTTCTTGTTCTGGTTATACATTATAGTTAAATAAAATATGAATAAAGTTTCAAGTTGAGAGGTGTTTACTAGAACTAAATTTAAAAACTACTCCTTTTTTTGTTAAATTGCACAAAATATTTTACATTATTCATCAACTACTTGTATCGCCACATATAGTTATCTCTCGAATACTATATGGGGCAAATAAAGGCATGTTCTGAGATGCGCATGTTAGAATGATAATGAGAATTGTGTCAGTAAGACCTTATTAACACTTTTGCTTGGAAATCCGAATCTATAATCTTGTCTGAACCACAGTGTTTCCTCTAAAAGTTATTATTTTAAGAACAGTATTATGTAATTTTACCCAATTAGCATTGCAATATCTCTTTTCGTTTTCTGATTTTTTTGAATTGTTGATCATTAATGGGACACTTGGTATTTGAATTTTAAATTGCATTCTTAGGAAGAGGGAGAAAAAACAGAAGAAAAAAATTTTCTACACTCTTTTAATGTTATTTTTTTAAATCTCTGTCGTCACTTGAAATGTGACGCTTTTTTATGAATAATATGCTATTTTTAAAAGTGCTGTGAGTTTTCAACAGTTAGTCATGACTGTTAGGTCAAGTTTATCTTATATTTAGCCAGCATATTCTATGTTAATTCTAAAAATAGTACCAAATGTATTGTTTGGGATCTACTTTTTTAATATTTAAAAAGTTACTCCAATGCTGCATTATCTGGGCTCGTAAAAATTGAGAATTATTCTTTCATTTTGATGATTTTAGAAGTGAGAAGAAATTTTTCCGAATTTCTGATTTTTAAAAAGTTTAATAATTCTATTAAGTAAAATACCTAAACTTTGTGTCTAAAGTCCTGATAATTCTTTAAGAAATCCAAAAGGGAAAATTTCGGCGAAAATTTAAAAAAAAAAAAACATTTTTTATGTTTGAAATTTTGATTGTTATTTTGCTAAACTTTTTACATAGATTTTGTAAAATGTTAGCTATATTTAACCTAAAGTTAAATTCTAAGTGAGAATTTATTATTTATTTTAGAATTTTTCTTTAAAAAAGAAATAATGAACTATGTATTTAGTTCTATTCCATTGTAAATTTAAAATTTTTTGAAGATTTTAGTTAAAAATTTTATTAACCATAGGCGCAGTGCGAGGGGGGCACAATTTTTGTTTTTAGAAAACTATTCGTTTATTTTAAGTTTTATGTATATATTCATATTTATTTTTTATATGTATACTAATATATGAATATATGTATAAAACTTAAAATAGACAAACAGTTTTTTAAGAACAAAAAGTGTACCACCCCTCATGCTACGCTAATTCTGTAACCATATTATTGAATTAGAAAAAAATTATTTTGATATTTATGCATTACAATTTTTTTTTTTTTAGCTGTTAACAAGACATAAAAAAGTTGTAGTGNAAGTGATTAAAAATTCATCTTGAGTGCTTAAAGGGTGCTTATTTTTTTTTGAAAAATCTGGCTAAGAACCCCGAGAAAAATGTATCAAATAATAATTTGTGGAATTTGACATTTGACAAAATCAACTTTGGATACCAAAAAAATTATAATTTGATCTGCTATTAATAAATTCTTTAATGATATTTCATATTTTCATCTGGAAATTTGTTGAGTCTAGTATCTATTTTATTAAGAGATTGGACCATTTCCATTCTATTCTTTATGTATTAGTAACTTCAGCTATTACCCTTGTAAAAATTTCTCATTACACTGAGCGGACTTATTCATTTTATTAAATGATACTTTAAAATCATCCCAAATTGTGGATTTTTAAATTACCAATTTTTAATGAGTGTAAGTGATTTGGATCATAAGTGATTATTTTTTAAAACTGAAATAATTTTTTTTACATGTTCACACAATTTAATTATAGTTAAGAAACAATGCAATTACATAGCATATTTATATTTACGGAATGCTGTATACAGAAGTGCCAGTGACAGGATTCAGCCGCTGAGTACCGGTACAGGCTTACCAGTTTTTTAAGTGAAATATTCATCGAAATTTTTAACCCAAATGTATTTAAATCTTTGTAATTAGTTTTCAAAAATCATTAATTGGAGTTTTTATAAGAAAAGGAAAATACATTTTTCATATTTCAATCAGGGAAAAAATTTCCATTCATACAAATCGATTCTTGAATTATTTGAATCCAATATTCTTTTTTCCTAACAACCAGGAATTTTTAGTCTTGATTTATTTGAATCTCATTACTGAGAAATTTATTTCCTTTATAGGGCATTATTCATAGATACATTTTTTAAAATCATTTTTTAACTTTTTCTATTATTTTAATAAATTTCTAATTATTCTTTTTTTCATTTTAAGCACATTTTGCTCGTGTATTAATTTTTTTTTCTATATAAACTTTAAATAGTGCCTTTTTTTTTAATAAGTGTTGATGTTGAACAGAGTTTTTATGATATAAAAAATTTACATTTAAAAAATATGCAATCTTTCAATTTAAAGAAGATTAAAAAACATTTGGAAATACAATTCAATTCTAATGTTCTTGAAAATTGTAACTAAATATTGTTAAATTCCTTTTTATCAGGCATTTATTTACATTTCTTTCATACATTAATTACATTTATTTTAATTATTTTACTTTTTACTAAGTATTTTATCTGAAAAAAGCTATGATTTCAAAAACTTTTAGAGACATTATCATCATTTTAAGGTTCATTTTTAATGGTTTTTAGAATTTTTTTTTTTTTTTTTTTTGCATTCTTGCATTATTTAGGAATTCTTAAGGTCATGAACATTCATTTCCTGATAATAAATATTTGTTATTGTTATTATACATTATTTTAATTGGTTATCAAATTGTTACTCGTGTTTAGTTATTAAAATTCATTTATTATACCATGCAAAATAGAAAATTTTGTTAATGATTTATGTTGCATTCAATGCTTCTAAACCACTATACTTTTTAAAATTTTGATTGCAATATTCCATCATTATTTTTTAGGTTTTTTCATATCAAGAATATTGCCAGTTTACTGAACTTTTGAACGAATTAAAGAAAAAGTAAGTACAATTACAATAAGAAATTTCAAATGTATAATTTTTTTTTGTCTATATAAGGTAAGATAAAAATAAATATTTATAAATGTTAAATATATGCAAGAAAAGTCCGTTAACTATCCTTCATTTAAATTGAAACTTGCTGTTTCAAACATTCTGAAATGCAATAGTTTTTAATATCCTACAGAGAATTATAAACAATATTTTTTAAATTCTTCTATTTCTTATTCCTTAATAATATTTCTTATATTTTTCTTGTTCTGGTTATACATTATTGTTAAATGGAATATGAATAAAGTTACAAGTTGTGAGGAAGTGTTTACTAGAACTAAATTTAAAAACAATTCCCTTTTTTATTTAATTGCACAAAATATTTTACATTATTGATGAACTACTTATATCTCTTGAATACTATATGTGGTGAATAAAGGCATGATCACATGTTAGAATAATAATGAGAATTGTTTTAGCTGCATGTAAGACCTTCCTAAGACTTTTACATGGAAATCCATTAATTTTGTCTGTAACCCAGTGATTATTCTAATAGTTATTATTTTATGAACAGTGTTATATAGTCTTACCCAGTTAACAGGGCACTATCTTCTCATGAATTTAGTAACTAGCTTTGTTTTTTGATACGAAAGAAATCTTGTTTCCTAAACAGAATGCAAAAAATTATGCAATTTTATCCCTTTCTGTTTTCTGAATTTATTTTTTTTAAGTTTTTAGTCATAAATGGGACACTTTGTATTTGAATTTTAAATTGCATTTGAAAAGGTGGGGGAAAAAACAGAAAAATAATTTTTGTATTCTCTTTTATGGTTATTTTTTTAAATCTCTGTCTTCACATGAAATTTAATGCTTTTTTTTGTGAATACTATGCTATTTTTATAACTGCTGTGAGTTTTCAACAGTTAGTTATGATTATTAGGTCAAGTTTAGCTTATATTTAGCCAGTACATTTTATGTTAATTTTGAAAATAGCACCAAATGTTAGTATGAAATGTTTGAGATCTACTTTTTTAATATTTAAAAAGTTGCTCCAATGCTGCTTTATCTGTGCTCATAAGAATTTGTAAAAATGGAGAATTCTTTGATTTTGATGATTTTTGAAGTGGGAAAAATTTTGACAAATTGCTGATGTTTAAAAAGTTTAATAATTCTTAAAAGTAAAGTATTTAAGCTTTGTTTCTAAAATCCTGATAATCCTTTAAGGACTCCAACTGGATAGAAAGGGAAAATTTTACAAAAAAAAATAATAATTTTTTATATTTGAAATTTTGATTATTTTTCTAAATTTTTTTTTTAATTTTTCTTCTCAAATATTTAGAATTGAAGTTATAGTCGTTTTTAAACATGTTCTCAAGTCGTAACGAAATGTCAATTTCATAATTAAATGCATTTTGCGAAAAAGGTTATTATAGAATCCTTTGAAACTTTTTACATAGATTTTGTAAAATGTTAGCTATATTTAACCACAAGTTAAATTCTAAGTGAGGATTTATTATTTTTACCATGTAACAATTTTTCTTTAAAAAATAAATTATGAATCATTGTAAATTTGAAATTTTTTGAGGATTTTAGTTCAAAATTTTATTAACCATATGTGCAGCATGAAGGGGGCACGATTTTTGTTTTTAGAAAACTATTCGTTTCTTGTAAGTTTTATGTATATATTCTTATTTATTTTTTATATGTATATTAATATACAAATGTGTTTATAAAACTTAAAATAGACCAACAGTTTTCTGAAAACAAAAAGTGTGCCACCCCCTGAAACAGCGCCTTTGCTGATAATCATATTGTTGATTTGGAGAAAAATTATTTTGATATTTATGTATTACACTTTTGTAAAGCTGTTAACAGGATATAAAAAAGTTGTTTACTCTGAATTTTGAAAAAAAATTTATATGTTTTTAAAGTTTACTTTAGATTTATAATTTTAGTACCCTGTTTACCAATAATAAAATTTTAATTAAGGCTCTTTAAAAAAAAAAATTATAATAATAATTGTATTGGACCCAGTTTTTAAGGTAACATGATATATATTGACTAAAATTAAACCTTTGCCTCAAAGGTTTAAAATGTTTTGGTGGGAGAACTATAAAAAACATTCTTAAATTCTCCTCAGAATTTTTATCAGATTTACATTGAATCATATTCATTTAATTTCAGCTTCATTCACTCATATGATGCTTCAAAGAGTGCCACAGAAAACACACATTTTGCAGAGAAGAATCTGAAAGATGAGAGCTTTGAGCCTCTTTTGATAAATACTTTTTCCTCTTCCACCGAAAGTCTCACCAACAAGTTTACTAACGAGACGACCGTCTGACAATTCCATATATTTTTTTTTCTTACTATATATGTTTGTTTGTGATAATGATATTTTTAAAGATGTCTTATAAATGTTATGTCAATAAAATATTTATTGGATGGTATAATTTTTTATTGCGTATGATTGTGAATGTATCACAGGTCTTTCTTAACAACGCATGATTCCCTCCCAGTACCGAACTAATTATCAGAGAAGTGTAGTCAAAGAGAAGGAAACATTATCTCCTCCCCCATGCGTAGTCTCACCTCCTGAAATTGTCCAAGCCCGAGGAAAGGATTGAGTTTGGTATCATTACACATTTGGTCTACAAGTTTATTTTGATTTTTTCTATCTGTGCTTGTGATATCTCAATTTAAAATAATTTTTGCACCATCTTCATTTTGCAATGACAGTGTCATCTATGAGCCAGAAATTTTTTTTTTGTCTTTTCATTAAGGGGCCTCGGGGCACTGTTAGTTTTGGTTAAATCCACTAACAACAGAAAGGCTCCTGTGTGTTTGCTGGCAGTGTGTCCCCTGATGAAGTACTGTTCTGCAAACACAAATTTATATTTTCATTTTTTTTAATTGTAAAGATTTTATTTCCATTTTACAGAATGCACCAACTCATATCTCAAATAGGGGTACTTTTTCTGGAAAATCTAATTTTGCAATTAAAATAACTTATTCTTATTTAAGATTTTGAAGTTGCCCTTGCCCTACCCCGAGGCCTCAGAGTGTGAGGTTGGGGGTCGAGTTTAGTATTGAATGCTGACTATTTACATACCCTGTACGGCAGGCGTTATTCTGAATTTTTTTTACCTATAAAATTCTGCTATCAGTATTTTTAGAAAATTTTATTTGATATTAAACTATTGTAATTAAAAAAAAAACATTGAAAAATCAAAAAGAAGTTTTAACCTAAATTCAAGAAGACATATGAAAAGTAGTGTTATGTGAGTTGATTAAACAGAAATGAGTACAAGAGCTCAATTTTTGTTTTAGGTACGGATATAGAGATGCATCATGAAGCATTTTTTATTGTATAACTGGTTCTTTTGAGTGATGAGCGTAAACATTCTGTGTGTTGTGGGTTTTCAAACTTACATTATTGAGGGTTTAAACTTCTTAGGCCCATGTGTAGTTTTGGGATTGTTTTGAGTAATCTTTTTCTTTTCCTTAAATTTTGCTGTATAATAAAAGCGATGATGGACAACCTTAGAGAGGTAAGAAAGAGAAGTAAAAGTGGCTTAGAAATTCATTTGCTAGTTAGGCAAGTGAGGTATTGTTCCCTATGGATTCTGTATGCTATATTGAGATCAAATTAACGTTGAAAGAACTAGTAGTTTAGAAGCTATTAAGATTTCATTAGTTACGAGCATTGTTTTGTATTTATACGTATCCGACATTGCTATGCAGAAAAACAACGTATCAGATCTCATGTATTGTTTTATGCTGAATCGGATCAAGTTCAGCGTAAAATAATATGTTGCAATGAGCTACCAAAATACAGGATTACAAGTCGACTGTTTATTGCCAAATATTCTTCTTCCAATACAAAAATACTCGGAGATTGTCACCTGATTCCTTCATCCACTAAGATATTTCTTTTGGAATTAAAAAACTCCGCTGAGTAAAGGAATGTTGTTAAGTAAGGCTGTTTTAGCTAATCCGTCCCTCCTTTATGTTGTGTAGTTGATTGAGAGTAGCGTAGATATTGGATTTAGCGTAATAAAGTACACAGGAAGCAATGTCTCACTTGTCTAAAAAGCAGTGTCAGACAAGTAAATAGATGTAAAAAACTGTGCTCATTAAAATAATAAAACTTTTGAACTATTTCAGAGCTACCACAACCAGGGGAAAAAATTCGAAAAGTAGGAGAAAAAGATGAAGGAAAGAAATTGTTTTTCTAAATTGCTATCAGAATATATATTTGTAAATTGAAAGAAATATATCTAGATGTTGAAACTGACTAACTAACTTGAATTCTAAAATTCAAGCAATATTAAAACCTTTAAAATTCCAAACAGCTTTTTTATAAAACATTTCTCACCACTCACGAAATTTTTCCGACCTGTGGTCATCCTATATTAATCTTATTGACTTAGTTTCTATATCATTCAATTTTGGTCAAAATTTGTACCTTTTTCATATAGATATATAAAACCATAATGTCGTAACTATTAATCCTGCATCAAATTTTAAATGGTTTATTTACATTTAGCATAAAATATAAAAATACCTCATTTGTCTAATCAGCAGTATTTAAGTCTCTATGCTTTGTCTCCGGCCGAAAACGTCCAAAATTGCTTTTTTTTTTCTACAGTGTACAAGAGGTTAAAAATGAGACAATTCACGATGCTTAGTTATAAAAAGGCACACGAAATGTAATTCTGGTACCTATTTGTTTAGTGATAGCATAAAAGAAAGAGCCTAAAGTGTAATAAATAAACATTTATTCTTCTTGTGTTATAATAATAATTAATGAAACAAATTTAGAGTAGTTTCTCGATGACCGGGTGAGTGAGATAGACGTTCATCTCGTGGATGTTGAGAATGTGCGTACTGAAATACTGTATCAGTTGAGGAATGGAGTCAAAAGTCTGTGTCTGCTGCTTTATCACATATTTCCCAGTCGGTAACTGGACTATCTTTACATGCATTACTCCTCTGGAACTCCTGTAAGAAAAGAAACATTTTAACTGCTGTTGAATTTTATCTGTGGGGGTGAGGAGTAATCGACCATGTCAAACGTCATCTATGAAAAGGTACCCCAACATAAAATCGAGTTAACATGTCTTATATACTAGTGAATTGTAGTGGTAGATACCCTACAGTACTCCCCCACCAGAATTTTAGCTGTGATAGAATTCGATGAACGGATGCCACTAGTTTATTCATTGCTGTTTTTTAGGAGAGTTGTATTAAGATCATCGTATTTTTGAGTACTGATCGTGAGAGCTGTATTAAGTTCACGAACGTGGTTGCTCCTGTGTTGCCTTTAGCAGTCGAGTGGCTACGTTGTACGTTGTGTATGATTGAAACTGATCAGTAACAGCGCTAGAAGTTGTTTAGCAGCAACAGCGCTAGGAATTAATGTCGCAGTCACAAGTAGCAAGTCAACTGTTCAATGTGGACCATCCAACGAAGTAGGCGTGTTCATATCGAAGTGGGCGTTTCTGCCAAGGTAGGCGTGTTCACATCACGTCTGAAGATCACCAATGTGGGGATAGTAGTTATCGACCATGTCAACCGTCATCTATGAAAAGGTACCCCACCATAGAGTCGAGTTAACATGTCTTATATACTAGTGAATCGTAGTTGTAATTTTGTAGTGGTAGATACCCTACACATCATTCCTTATCAGCTATTAAACACACTTCAGTGGCGTGGATAACGAGAAGACATTTGTCCCCGGACGCGGCCTTAGAGGGGTGCAAAATTTATGAAAATAAATTTTAAAAAAAAACTTTTTATTAATTTTTTTTAAATGTCACCAGTTTTATTTACTAATTAAACGCACCATAACTTTTTTTTCTCAAATTTTTATTTGATTTCTCGAAAAATTAAACAGCGTGTCTATTATTATCATTTTATAACCGTCGTTAAACAGCCGACCCAATTTTTGGGCTTACGACTAACAATGTTCAAATCCGTAACCTTGTAATGTTGAACCCGGTCCTGAAGACAAGGGAACTTCTGAATCAAGTATTGGGAGAAATTTGCCTTCGTGGAGGACTTTTTTTTTTTTTGATGGAACTAACCCGTATTTGTGTTACATGGTGAGGAAAACCGTTAAAACCTCCCACGGTTAGCCTAACGGCAAGGGATTCTAATCCATGGACCGTCTGTCCGTGGGGATATTATACGTTGCGAGCTATTACTGGTATCGAACCCAGGTCACCTCGTTGGGAGACGAGTGGAGTTTTTTTTTTTTAATTATTTATAGCAAATTGACAATATATTCAGTGAATAATGCCCTTAGAATAAACTTTTATCCATCCATAAAACACATTGAATGCGATCAAAAACATCTAAGTTTAATAAAAACTACATTAGTAAGTGAATCGAAAATTAATTAGGTTATCAAGCTACGCTTTTTTTTTCTTTTTTTTTTAAAGCGTCTTATTTAAGGTTAAAAAGTCTTATTTTATGTATAAAAAAATTAAGAAAAAAAAAACAATTCAATGCCAAGTGAGCTGGGTTTAACACAATCAGTTTAAGGAAGTCTCGTAAAGGCCCCTTAAAGTCTCAAGCCATTATGCCTGGGATTTGACCTCAGGCGCAATAACCTTATCTACTTCTTTGACACAATTACGAGTCCTATTTCTGGCAATGTGCCAAAGCAAGCTAGCTCCTTTAGCAAAGCAAGCTCAAAGGAGTTGTGATGTAATTAATCTTACAATCTGAGATCTTTTTTATAATTTTATAATGCATTTATACGAAAAAAAATTCTGGTAAAATTAAATTTTTAAAAATTGTTTAACAAAATGTAAAAGAAATCAATAACTATTATTCAAAATTAGTTTTGATTATTATTAAATTAAATAATTATTGAGATTTACGTTTAGCATGGAATTCTTTTTAGGTTAACGCTTATTCAGAGAAAGTATGTTTTTTGTGTGTGATTTAGTTACTTAAATTACAACTCAAGGCTGTTGTAAGAAACTGTTGCGTTTTACGCATATCAAAAAATTAAGGAACAAAAATTTTTTTGCGGATAACTCAAGAATCAGTTATCAAGAAGAATTTTATCTGAAAATACATCAAAGTATGACTCAAACGAGGCTAAAAAATAAGGGATGGCCCGAACTCAAGATCGTGTGTTAATGGGCATCAAAGCAAGATAGTCCAAAAAGGATGCAGGACCTGTTGGGAGTTAAATATGGAATATGACAACCCCTGACTGCAATGCAGGCTTCACAATGAAGTCCCATGCTGTTTACGAGGTTAAAAAACGTTTTGAGCAACAAATCCGATTCCTCCATAAAGGCTGTTTTATAACCGGGAGGTTTCTGATAGAATGGTGAGCTGCAATTGCTCTGCAAAGAACATCTCAGACATACAAGATGAGATTCAGATCTGGAGATCAGGCTGGCCGCCACAGAATTTCTTCATGCAACTACTGTGGTGCAATATTTTACCAAACATGATGATGAAAAACCCCAAAAATTTTGAGAATGAACACTTTATTTAAAGTTAACATCAAATCGAGCTTTTTTTTTCATATATAATTTCGAGGGATTAATTTAAATCTAAATATTTATAATGGAATAAGTTTACACCAGACTTACTCAACAGAAACAAATGTTCTTCGTTAAAGTATGTTTTTATTTCAGTGATAAAGATAGTTATATTGTTATTTCCTCTTCAGTTAAAGATACCAACTATACAAACATTTTTAGTGAACTGTATTAAACGATTTTATAATACATAGTTTCTACAAATTCTCCATTCTATATTTTCTATAAATTCTGTTAAACCTAGTTCAACGTCGTCTTAATATTCTCTTTATGCTGCACTATATTTGAATCACTAATTTTAAGAATTAGTGTATGTATGCATTATAATTTGTGCTAATATGCACTGATTCTTATTTTATATTGGCTCGTAAAAGTAACTTTATTTGCTGCTATGAGTTTCTTACGTTACTGCAATTTAAATTTTAGTGTTACTGAATGCTAAAAATGGATGAATCCCATTTTCAACGAGTGAAGACGCAAAAAGAGATGGTGAGATGATGTAACAGAAAATACATTCCTAATGAAAATTGCTTACTGGAAATCCAAGGCTAAGAGAAGGAAAGTTTGGAACAACATTGTTCAGTAAGCCAAAGCCCACAGTGGGCTTTAGGACAATAAATTTATTTTTTTTTTNAAATTTTTTTTTTTTTTTTTTTTTTTTTGGTATGGTATGAGAACTTACTTGAGCGACAGCAGATATTGCCTCTTCAGTTTCTCACTACAACGGACTAGAAAGCTCCCTTTCTTCATAAGACGGAGCAAATTCTCAGCGTCTGCCCTGCTTATGGAACCATGATACCATCTATAATACAAACAAAAAATAAAATGAGAAACAAAGAATGGCGGCAATAATAATATCATAAAGTTAAGACAGCGAACTGCGCAAGAGACGAAGTTTCAAAAATTAGGTCGAAGGTTAAAAGTACTTAAGACATGAATGACAACGATAAACAGTACTTTTTGGAGCTTATATTGACTTCTTATATGATGAATTTTCATAAAGTTTATAATTATAACAAAAGGGCAGAAGAAATCCAATAGAAATTTCTTCTTTGTTGCATTTTCAGTTGTAACTTTTTCACTTCAAAATCCTCAAAGCATATTTTTACGATTATCTTTAAACTGCTTATCACAAACTGATTTTAAAACTAAACTACTATGCATTAAAAAAAAAGTGTGGTGTAAAAGCTCTCCAAATTTGGTGATGTGCAACCCAAACATATATGTAAAGGAACACTTTATTCAAATTAACATTGAATTCAGCGTTCATACACTTTAAAGGATACAGTTCAGTATAAACACCAATAATAAAGAATTCTTAGACCAAACTCGTGAGCATTCACACTATTCTAGAATTAGTTTTCTTTCCGAAAACACAAATTTTGAATATCGTCAGCAAATTGTTTACAATTGAGCACGAAATGGCGTGGGTTTATTGTTGTTTTTGCACGTTATTTTTACGTCTACAGAAACAAAAACTCGCCTTCATAAAATGTGTATATATATTTAGTTATCTAATATGGATAACTGTACTTGTAATTTTTAAATATCTGTCAGTTGTATAGAACAATCTTATAATCAATTTCTATCATCTTCTGTTTTGTTAAGCCTAATTAATTTCCTCACGGTGTTCTCTCTGCGCTATGCATATCTCAGTTTATTTTATTTTAGGAATTAGTATGTGTATACATACTAAATTAAAACTGATCTTGCATTAAATTGTATATAAAAATAACATTACTGACTCTTATGAACATTATATCTTGTTATAAATTAATAATTAATTAATATAATTGCTATAAATTTTAGTATTACCTAAAACCGAAAATGAGGGTAACTAATTTGCACCTAAAGTAATGAGAAGGAACATTTTCCCTGGTGTTTCAAAACACTAAACAACAAAAAATTATCTGTGGTGTTCCGCCACGCCACTTTTGTAATTGCTCTATTTCTGGTGTTAAGATACACTAAAAATTTTTACTGAGTATAGTTTATGCTCATTACTTAGATGTTTTAAAAGGAGACGAGTTTAATTTTCCTTAGAATATTGCGATTTGGATTGGAATACTGTCAAGAAATACACTGGTTATCATAAATTAAGGAAAAATCACAAAAATAGCGATAACTCTTTCAAAAGTAAGCCAAACCGTGCAAACTTTGCATATGTTGTCCACTAAGAGTAGCTGAGTAAAATTGCAATNAAACATCAAAACATTATCTGTGGTGTTCCGCCACGCCACTTCTGTAATTGCTCTATTTCTGGTGTTAAGATACACTAAAATTTTTTACTGAGTATAGTTTATGCTCATTACTTAGATGTTTTAAAAGGAGACGAATTTAATTTTCCTTAGAATATTGCGATTTGGATTGGAATACTGTCAAGAAATAATAGTTAAAAAGGAAGAATGCTTACTCCTGTTTCATAAGATGAGCTGTAGGTTCAATCTCATCTTCATTTTGAATATCCAAACATAAGTGGCGCCTCATTCTTTTCGGAGCCCGGCTAAAATCCAGCCATAAGTTGTTCCTGGTCGCTATTAGGAATTAATGAATATATACAAATGTATGTAAAGGTTAAGCATTCAATATGAAATCTAATCTATAAATAGATTTAAGATCAAACGCTCAACCATTAAGACGATTTCCCACAGAGAACTGATTATAATGTTAATTTTAATTTGCTTATAAAATATAATGACGTGATTGGAAGTGAGAAATTGATCACTTGCGTTATTACAGTCCAGAAATGCATTAAAAGCAATTCAAGACATTGAATTGATAGAACAAAATTCAAGTTTAATTCTTATTTCTTGAAGAAGGAAAGCAAAATCATAGAGGTAGAAATCAAAGAAGTACGGAGTCCATTCATTTAGGATAAAAAATTAACAATGGATAACTACATCATGCATAAAATAAACTGATGAATCAAAATTGATTGATTATTTTGGAGTTACATACTCACGGAGTTATACAAAGACTTAGAACAACACGAAGAAATATGCAATACTTTTCGAGATCATCAAGAGAACATTTAAAATGGCAATAGACTGACCATATAGCTCAATCACTGGACTCGCAACATTTTAAACTGGTATCTTCATGACAGGAAGCAACCAATAAAGTAACAATTTCGGAAAAGTTTGGTATTCAGCAGTAACTATTGTAAAAGCTGAAGAAGAAATTTGGAATACAAAAGTCAGACTGTCATAAAGTTTTGAATCAAGTGTTTTGGTAAATAAGAACGGGGTAAGCATGATAGATCTGAAAAATATTTTTTTATAGAACGTTTTTAACCCCGTTTTCTATGCAGTGATACACATTTTCTTGATACACATTTTTTCGAATAATTAATGTTTCATTATGTTACGTTACCTTTTCCCAATTTAATTTATGCTGCAGTTGCATATAATATAAAATTTTAACGTTACGGTTATAAAAAATAGGAAAATATAATTACTTTGTTAATATACATACTACGTAGCGCAATAAACATAGTAAAATTGGTGTAAAATGCGAGAAATTCGGACAATGAAACAGCATTAAAAAAATCTTCTCCTTATTCTCTCCATAAATATAATATGAAAAACAGAAAATATATTTTACTTTAAGTTTAAGCTATAAAATGTGGCAGGTCATACAACGGGCATAAAAGCTAAAGGATAGGATGCTACTGTTGTTATAGTTCATTTAAGTCGCACTGGAGCTGCACAATGGGCTATTGGCGACGGTCTGGGAAACATCCCTGAGGATGATCCGAAGACATGCCATCACAATTTTGATCCTCTGCAGACGGGATGGCACCCCCGCTTCGGTAGCCCAACAACCTGCATCCGAAGTCGAGCACTTTACGGTAGAACAGTTTAACTAGGACCAATACCGCACACCCTCGGCCCCTACGCAGACTGATTCAAGTGGTCACCCATTCGCACACTGACCGCAACCAGTGATGCTTGACTTCGGTGATCTGCTGGGAACCGTGTCTTAACGATCAGTCCAACGCGGGACGAAAAGGATAGGATGCAAAAATAAAATAAATTTTAAAAAAAAAACACTAATTTTTATATTATTATTGTTATTACAGATTTTATTTACCAGAATTCAATTCTAAATTGCTACGTTTCATGTCTTCTCTGTAGTTTTTACCAAAGTTAAGTATTGGTGTAGACTCACTACTTTTATCACTGTCACATGGTCCCTTTCCATTTTCAATCGCCGAATCTGCACCTGAAATTTATAAAAACAAATCGTTTAATTACTTTTTTTTCACCAAACGGCCTGTAAAAATTTAATTTAATAAAATTATTATTACGCATTATTAGTATTGTTATTTTTTAACTATTTGCTCAATAAAAACAACAAACGGTTTTCAACAAATGCGGAAAAGCAAGTGTATTTATTTTATTACTACTCTCTCTTATAACGGGATACTTCAAAGAACGCTATACCACTGGAGAAACATTGCATCCCAGATTCTCCTTCTCCTCCGTAACTTAGTTAAAATTTAAAGTATAGAAAAAGTGAGTTCATCATCAGGCAAACCTAGATTGAGCTATAATGTTTCAATTGCTGGAAAAAAAATTCAAAACATCAAAATGCAAACTAATTAATGGAAGAGAACTTTTCCATTGCGTTATCTTAACTTCTTCTTCTTCTTCTTCTTCATAAGCGCAACAGCCTTTCACAGGCCATCCTCTAATAATTCGTCTTAATTTTCATATTTTGAAATTTTTTGTCAGTATTTTACTTACTTCATGCCTTACTCTAGGTTTTCCTTAACTCAGTTTTTCTGCACTTTAGATTTTAAATTGCTTATAGTGGTGAAAGAGAATCCGTGATGAAAAGTTTTTCTCGTGGTATTTCGCCCTCTCAATGTTATTCTGGCAAATTACTCTGTGACAAATCGAAACAAATTCAAAAAAATACTTTTTTTCATATTAATTTTATACTTTTTTTAAGTTACACAGTAGTATTCGAGTTTAAAATACTCCGCTATTTTTTTAATCTGCATACGAACATATTCAAGGCCACGAACAATACATGTACAGTTCACATACAACATAATCCCCATAAACCAATACACGAGTGCATTTATAACAGTCTCTACACTTGAGATCTATATTTACTCTTCAATATGCATCTACATATCCTCAGGCTCTAAGTCTGTGTGAGAGGCAAAAGAGTGGTCTGCAAGTTCATTTACACCTGCACCATCAATAGCTAAACTAATTTTAATCTATTTTATCACTTTATTTTTTGAGTTTCTTACGTTTTAAGTTTAGAACAGGATCCACAAGATTAAGGAAAAATTGGATACGTGTCCCATTTTTCCTTTGCGTAATATATTCCGTTTTATCTTTGCACTTGATCAAATTCCGTTTTTCCTATGCACTTGATCAAATTCCGTTTTACCTTTGCACAACTTTGCCCCATAAGTGATTCATGGTACGGTACATGTATTGTACAGCGAACCGACTCTTCTGAGAATGTATAAGTTATTGCACAAAAGCTGTAGAACCTTATTACCATTGTTACTTATTATCTAACCTAATTACGATTGGGCAAATGATAGTAAGTAAGCGTACTTACTAGTGTTGGCGTAGCTTTTGAGTTCAAATGACGTATAACTGGACGTATTTGGCGGCATTATTTCCAAAATGGAGTTCTCATTGACTAAGTTATTAGTGGAAGCCCTGTTGTCAGCTGCAGTTGATTTGGCAGGAAGAGAAGAAATCTGTGGACTCTTTTTGGACTCATCCTCTGCTACGTCCAGTTTCTTGAATTCCACGGACGGTGAAAATGTTTTCTTCGATTTTTCTTCCGTAGAGCAACTTGGAGCTTCAGTATGAGTTTCTGAACTCCTAAAAGAAAATTGCTAGTTGAAACAGGGTGTTATGCATACAGAGAAATGACAACCAAAGTACTGAATAATACAGAGTCTACTACTGTAAACTTGGAGGGGAGGTAAGACAGATCATAAAGATCGCGAATTGCAACACCACCTCCTAGATAAGAGCAGGCCTCAGCACGAGTTACCATAAATATCCTTTAATAGTCCAAACGTAATGACTATGACATATTTCGTATTTTCAACCACTGCGCAGCTTAGTACCCCTAACGCAATGACAACTTTCTTATTTTTCATCTACTGCGCAGTTAACTTCGTTAGATCGGACTACTAAATTGATCCGTGCTGAGGCATTCCTTCTTCTAGGAGGTGTTGATTGCAACCCATGCCCCGAAATAACATCGTTGGCTGATATGAGTGACTCATTATGAAGTGTCTGTTCGTGCGCATTTGAAATTGCGATTTACATTAATTTTATATTAATTTCTACATTAATATAAAATTATCTGAACTACATTAATTTTATATTAATTTTGCGTTCTCTAACGGTAATTGTCAGAAAATGCATTTGAATAGGTCTAAAAACAGCGATTGAAAGGTCATTTAAGGTTTAGTAAACAATTTGGCGAGTTAGACAAATTAGAAACCAAACACATTAAATTACGTAAAATAGCTTTTTTCCGTCAATTTGAATTTAAAATTGTACTACAAAATGTAAAATTTACATAAAATACTGTTTAAATTGCGCATTGACAGCCGATTCATCACGAGGAGACGCCCTTAACGGCGTAAGACGTCATTTCACATGCATTATTGTGCAATTTTAAAACCTTATGGAGCACAACGTCCAAGTTTGTAACAGCTGCACTCTATAGAACTTAGTGTCTAATTTAGTTTTCGCATTATAATAGTATTTCTGCATTGCTGTTATACCACCTGTTTCCCTATTATTACTACCAGTTGAATACTGGTTCTGATTTTTTTTTAAAAAACCGTACATAATTATTAAACTGTTATAAATTAACACTATGCAATCATGCACAAAACTGAAAGACGCGTGCCGAGACAATGAAATGATTTAAAATGGTTTTACTTTTTCGTCAAAGCTTTTTGTTATCTTTCCCGGTGACTTTACGTTGTTAGATTAAGCAAAACACGTTTTTAGAAGTTCAACTCAAAATAAAGATTAACTATACTGAACCAAACCGAAAATGATGCAATTAATAAGTGAGTCCAGATAATAGTCAAGATTTTCCATATCAAACAATTTTCACGATGAATAAGTAAGGCGACTTAAATTTTCTTACTTCTATTACCGATAACTTTACATTAATTAAGTTTCTGGAAACATTTTTCAAAAGTGCAAGTTTAAACAATCTAAACACGTGGTTTCTGATAACAACTAATTTGAGAACGCCACACCAACCACTTTTATTTATTTATTTGAGCTTACCTGACATGAAGAGTAAATAATTATTGATTCTAAGTATTAAAGAACGTGTTATGAACTGTAAGTAAAACTTGCATTTGATTAAATAGCTGACAAGCATCAGAGATTTTATCTTAAAATTATTGAAGAATAAAGTTTTAATTTCTGTAATCCTTTTTTTTTTTCTTTTCCTGATCCCATGAGAAGTATTTGTTTTCCACACGTTTCTCCCTAACACAAGAAACAAAGCTTTAGAACGAATTTTAGTATTGAGGATCAAAATTGCCCAGTTATCAAACTTTCTAGACCTACACGTTAAGTATTTATTTAGAATTAAGTACTTATTTAGAACATGTTAAGTATTAATTTTGTATTTTTATAGAAATAAAAACTTAGTTACGAAGTAATTATTTAGATTTATTTTTGATCGTTTCTAAAATGATTTCAGGCATTTCAAACGTAAACTGTGCTACGGTGCCGCATACTGTCGTACCAATTATTGGTGACAGAGCCTGCCTTTTTCGGGCAATAGCATAGATATATTTAAGTTATAGCGCTCGACGGGATAGCGTAAGGACAGAACTCAATGGAGCACATATCAGAATGACTTTTCTGTCTTATCTCAAGACAGAGATGGAAATAATTTTAATACTTCCACTGCCTACTTTGTCCCCAACTCATACTTTGTGTGATTTAATGGCCGCTGGACAAGTTTATAAACTATTATTAAATTTCAATTCACAAAGAACTTTGACAATATCGCTGACATCTCTTGCAGATAGTTAAAATTGAAATCAAAGTACTAGCACGCGGACAACAGCTAGAAGACGAAAAAATTTGGTTGATATATATATGAAACAAAATAAGGTGTTAGGATTGAAGGAAGGGTTGAAGAATTAAGATGCTTAAATACACAGTTGTGCATATAATGAAAAAGATATAGTAAATTTAAGAAAAACAAAAAGAATACAATGGCTCCGACATGTGGAGCGAATGAGTGAGGAAAGTGCAACAAAGGAAATCTGTCAATGAAAACTAGAGGGGAAAAGAAAGGTCGGACGCCCTAGAAAGAGATCTGAAAGAAATGAAAATCAGAAATTGGAAGATAAAGACAAAGGACAGGAAAAAGTGGAACTGTGTGGTAAAGGTCCGTCATGAACTGTAGAGACGAAGAGTAAGTATAATTTGTCTAAGCTAAGAACTCCTCCAGTTACAAAGTCTGAGGCCGTCCGGTGCTATGGAAACAAGAATGGCGCATTTTCGGGAGGGTAGCTTCACTCTAGGACTAACACAATGGACCGAAGAGATTCTCTTTCTCTCGCCGACCCGAGCAGAAACCACTCCAAAACAGTGGCCCCGCACCCCTACTTGAAATAGTCATACCTCGTTACCATGGTCCCCGCCACGGGTCCAGACGAATGCCTGGAGGAGTTCTCATTTTAGACGAACTATAAGTAAGTTAATACAGTTGTGTTGTGCATTCGGCTTGGTTACCATTAAAGTTTGTGTATTATACGATATTACTTTAAAAAGCAGCTAGTTACATTTTATTTTGATAGATAAATATCGATTGGTCGTTGTTGTATAGTAAATGTTATATCATTATAGTAAATATTATTATTATTAAAACATAATAAACCTGAAATATCCATTGAAATACAACTGCTAAATTCAGATAACTTTCTTACTTGGATTCTTTGCGGTCTGCTCCACACACCCACGGAGTAAAGAGCTTCCTAAGGGGCAAGGCTGGAGATCTTGGGGATCGTTTGGGTACCCTCTTACCTCCTGACCGATCAGAGTCTGTACTGGATCTGGAGGTCGCGGGGGAGGGTCTTTGGCTATGAGCGTGGATTGCAGGATCCGGACTGCAGAGTCGTCTGCTCGTCTCCAGGATGTCCTCTGGATCTTCATCGATATCTGCCGGACTGGCCGTACTGTCGAACGCTGTCTCATACAGATGCCGGACTGCCATGTAATGCCTCAAGGGAAATTCGAATCTACAACAGAATCAGTTAGATAATTAGGCTCTGTATCAAATAGATTCGATGAGGGTAATTTAGAAAAACAGAGGAATCTCACAGTTTTCAGAAGCGACGTTAAACTCTGACATAACCTTTAAATTGCTTTAATAATTTTGAGATCATAGCGCGATACAATACATTATAGCACTGCAATTATGAAACTAGAGCAACCTTAGAGTATTACCTAATTTTAGTAATAGGTATTACTAGCAGTATAGTAGTTGATACTGTTTTAATAAGTACCAAATAAAATAACATGTATACCTACTATGAACCGTGTTGTGGTTAAAGGCACTGATGAGGTATTATTATAAATGACTGGGGTTCGATCCACAAAGGCACCTTGAAGCCATCCCTGCTTCAGATCATTGGACATCAGCTTGTCAAGAAGTCTGTGTGTAACGCTGACAACATTGCTAAAATTATGCTGCTTGTCTAGAAATTGTGGAGTCCCCTAGCTCATGGCGAGCCGTTACGGGAGTACTTTTTCATACCTACTATGTGTACTATGGTAATAGGTTTTTTTCGCCTCTCCCTCTAAAGGGGCAGGCTGGAGAAAATTGCTTGATTGAGGTAAATTTTTACTATAATGAGTTGGAACCGAACAGCAGCATCATGCCGAATGATTATGAATACAGTTAAACTTTGCTGCGATGGAATAAACTTCTAAAAATATGTTTTGCTTAATCTAAAAAACCTGAACCACTGGAAAGTCAACAAATAATAATAAATAAATTTAAAAAATGGAATTATTTCAGTTTAACTATTTATGACGGTATGAGTGACGGTGAAATTTCATTATGTCTTTCAGACAGTTATCAGCTTTCGTGCTGTTGATCAATACAGATTTATTAATTATAGATTTTTTATCGACCCAGTACGAAGAATGGATATTCAACTAGTACAACATAAAAAGCTGTCTCCCATTATAATAAGAGAGATATTGGGGATTTTAATTCTAAAATTTTATTATAGAATTATTTAAATTTATTTTTTTTATTCTAATGAAACCCATCAGGACATTTTTTGGGGTTAAAAATTGATTTGCAGCGTTGTTCTAAATTTAGAAGCTAATTTTAACATAATTCTTATGGAATTTAAGAATGAAGATTTTGTTTACATTTTAATGTTAGATTAGTCTAAATAAAAAATATTATTAAACTTTTAGAGACCCATAAAAACGATTACAACGTATTATTTGCTGTCTGTGAAAGATAAAAACGGTTAAAGAAAAAACAAGTCAAAAATAACTTCTGCGTTTTGTAAAATTGAGACGACGAAGATGACAAATCTACCTTATGCTTCAAGGTTAAAAACAACTTGAGTCATATCCTTTCCCTCTCTCATTCCTTAGCTTTTTTTTCTCACAATTAACAATGGTGATAGGATTACAGTTACCTGTTGTTATACTGTATTTTTATAATGCGGTATTTTATTTTATTATCTTGGTTAGATAACATGACAATTAAATACTGAATTCGTTTTTCATTTTCGCTATAGTTTTTATATTTATAATAATAATACTACACAACCTGTATTGTATTAATCTATCGGATGAGCTGTTGGATTTTTCATAAATATTATCTCACTTTTTATCAATATCCCCCCCCCTTGTCATAAAGTGTCACACTTCCCAAACCCCTATACCTACCTTGTCACATGTAACGCCACCGTAACGGGTATATTTGCATAATGCGTATGCTAGCATTAATGCATAAATATATGCTAATATTAGACATGAATAAATGCTAGATGTATAAATACATGCTAACAGTTCAGAAACAAACCACAGGCTGTAAATCATATTTCATATTTTATTTTCAGAATTAAACAGCGTTTTTTAACGGCGTTTGTTAGCATGACAATAACAATGATTGAGCGGGGGGGGGGGCAGACTTTTTTCTTTCGTTTTCTGTACCATGAGAATTATAACAGATTTTAAATACTTTCGTAATCGCCGATTTCAAATCTGCAATCAGTTTCTTTCTATAACACACAATTTTTCTTTCAATTACATTTTCAATCTTTTATTTTCTTTCGCAATGTACAAGCTTAAAAACATTATACATGGCATGGGGTCACATAAATGTTGTGGTAAACTTCTAAGAGAGTTAGGACACATCATTAGGATTAAAATTGCATATGAGCCCATTCTCGGAAATGTTGTCATCCGCCGCTAGGGGCACTTCCCTATTATGAACTGTTTCTTCGGGTTCTTCTGAACAGGTCATAATAGGGAAGGCCCCCTAGCCGCGTACGATGTCATTTCCGGGCATGGGTTCCGACTCAATAGACAAGGGAACTCCTGAATCAGGTATTGGGTGAAATTTGGCTTCGTTAAGGAATTTTTGATGGAGCTAACCCACATTTGCGTTACATAGAGAGGAAAACCACGAAAACCTCCCACGGCTAGCCCGATGTCAAGGGGACTCTAACGTCAGCACTGTGATCGATGCAAGCCGGATGTCTAATTCGTATCGACCAGCCATCGCTGGAATTTGTACCCGGGTCACCTTTTCGGAAGGCGAACGCTCTATCCCCTGAGCCATCACGGCTCCAGCTGTCACAAAAGAGAATTGATGCTTGACGGGCATGGTTTACGCGAAATAGAATGGAAAGAATACTTTGCTAACGTAAACAAATGGCGCGTTTTAACAACCAATCAGGATCGAGGTACCCACACTACGTCACTTGTAAGTATCCCATTGATGAGAAGCAATCATCGGGATTGGTGAGCGGTAGTGAACAGGGGGCTTAGCCCCCTAGTAACATAGTTGAATAAATAAAACTTTACTCATTATAAAAATGTAATACATTTTTCCCATGATTGCATTTAAAAATCCCTGATATCATATTCACTAACTGATTGGATTGCACTAACATCCAAAATTGCGGTCTCACTTTAATGAAATCGGCTTAATCACACTTTATTTACTAATTAGCATTTTTTAGAAGAAAAGATACTTAACAAATAACTATTATAAAAAAAATATTATAATGACTTAATCTATTTTACTGCTTTAGATTAGAAATATACTTTAAAACCTTATATAAATTATATATATATGAAAACTGCAAAATATCTTTATTTTGCTGCGAGGAAGAAACAAATAGCTGTAGAAACAAATAATAGAAACAAATGTAGAAACAAATAATAAAGTAATAACCAGTTATTGCATTTTTTTTATATTGATGTAGATAATATTTTATTAACAGTTTTTGCAGAGATCATTAAATCTTTGATGATATGACTGAAAACTCGATGTCTCTGTTAGGGTCATATATAAAGGATATATTTTTGTTTTTCTTTCACTAACACGCTATCGGTTTGTGTTGTAATCGCTTAGCAACTATGTTGTGTTATAGTTTATTGTTTGTTAAAATAGATTGTGTACTGCGATCGAATCATGCGATTACGAAGTGGAAGTAAAATAATAATGTCTACTGTTCTCTTAAATGAGAAACTTATGGAATTTTCATAAAACCTGTAATTGTGAGGTTTAGACCAGGGGTTTCCAACTTGCATGAGGCCGGGGGCCGCAATTAAAAACACCAGTCAAATGGCGGGCCGCAACATTATCAAAATTTTATCTAGGACTCTTTTATGTTTGAAGGAACATTAAATGTTACTGTCAGATTTTTATCAAGTTGTACAAAACAAACGTATTGAGTTACAAATTATAACATATACGATTAATTTGCATTTGAATAAAGATTTTCTTGGATGCAAAACCTGAGAAATATTTTTTTTTGCGCCGTTAGTATGTTAAATTTCACACAAACGAAGAAATGATGTTTTTTTAAAGGAAAGAAAAGTATTTTAAACCCATAAAGATTTTTTACGAAAATTGTCCGCAAAAAATGACAACTAATATACTTCAGCTCGGGGACCACAAAAAAGTCTTCGCGGGGCGGATGCGGTCTCTCAGGCCGCCAGTTGGTAACTACTGGTTTAGACCAGCGGTTCTTAACCTATGGGTCGCGACCCAAAATTGGGTCGCGAAGCATATTTCTTGGGCCGCGCTGAGTCGAACCAAAAAAGCTAGTCAATACACCAAATAATAAGTAATACCAACACCTCCTAAAGGAAGTCATTGTGGCTTACTCAGCCTAATTTTGACTTTTTTGGGGGTCGCGACATGAACATATTTGTCAAATTTGGGTCGCGGCTTAAAAAGGTTAAGAACCACTGGTTTAGACAGTACAATTAAAGCCAGCTAGATTAAGACTATTTTTTGAAGGCTCTGTAGTCGTAATGATGCTTTTCTGTGAATATGCTATTTTTATGACTGTTATTTCATAACATGCAAATTTTCATAACTGTTGTGAGGTTTTAACAGTTACTCATGACCGTTAGGTGAAGTTTAGCCTATCTTTAGCCAGTGCCCTCAATGTTTGTTCTGAAAATGACGCAAAACGTCAATTTGAAGAAAAGCCGCAGTTTTTAGAAAATGAAAAGCGTTTGTGGTCCAATTTTTTATTATTCAGATACTTACATGCAATGTTGCATTATCTGGGTTCATGAAAATTTGAAGAAAAAAAAAGGAATAAAGCATTGCTTCTGATAATTTTAATCTAGGTGGGAAAATGTCGCCAAATTGGGGAACTTTAAAAAAGTTTAATAATTTTTAAACTATTTTTGTTCGCTCTTAAGCCCAGAGAATTCTTTACAGCAAGATGACAAATACAGTTTAAATTTAGATCTTTGCTTCAAGTGTAATATTTTCAATAATATTTTCAAAAAAATTAAAATATATATTTATTGATAGTTTATTCCGTTTATATTATTGTATCAATATATTGCGTTGATTTTTGTAAAAATGTTAAAGTAAATATGTAAAATGTCAAGCGCGACGCGCACTGTGACAACCATGAGCAAGTGAACTTGTACGCTCAGTTGATTAATGGATTTGCTCTCTCCAATCAAAACATTTAAAGCAAAATACTATCATTTTAAGGGGACACTGGACGTTCAA